ATAATGGATGAATGGTAATAAATTGGTGTATGTTTGTACGTATACCAGACAAAGTCCATTTAATGGCAGAATTTAGCCATTTTGTGTAAAAACTTTTATATCTCATATTATTAATTATAACAGTAATCGAAAGAAATCATAGTTTGTATATACAAGAGATGAAACAGAGAGCCATGAGCTAGAGCGATGTGCTGAGTCCATAAGGAGGCCGAGCTTCCAGAAATACCTTCCTGTGATTGGCTGTTGCGGGGAATACCAACACTCTTTTATGAATAAAATTTAAACTAAGAAATAGGTCCTTGTGCACAACAACAAGGTTGTTGTGAAAAAGAACAACAATTTCTGTTTTGCACCTGACAGAAATCTCCATCTAACTGTGGATGTGTGGTTACTAAGTGGATAGCACCTATAGCTGATCCCTTCCCGTGATTGGCTGTTGTGTGAATGTCAACAAAGAATATCTACCAATGATATGCCATTTATTATGCACCCCATACCACCTTGTGGGCAGAGCTTGGAACCTCCTACCCGAGCACAACAACCCACCTTATGGGTTGCTGTTTGGCTATTTATAGTGCGTTGGAAAAGCAACAGATGGCGTTAGTTGTATTTTGTGGGGTAATTTTTTATAAGTGAAATTTAATGTCAACAGATGGCGTAAGCTGTATCTTATGGCCACTATTGACCAGCCAGTTGATAGTGTTCTTATGTGCCGACAGATGGCATCTGTTGGCTGTTGGTGTTATTATTATTATTTTAATACTATTATTACATTAATAATAATGTATTATTATTACTTTAAACACTGATCTATACGTCTGGTAGCTTATAATAAGGTTTTATACCGTGCTGGTATTAGGTAACTAGAATTCTGCAGTTACTTTTTATTATCTACTGTTGAGGATATGTAAGACAAATGTAAGGTTTTGAGGCTAAGTAACGAAGATAGTTACAAGATACGAGCCAGATGGTGTTGAGATTGCAAAAGGGATTATGATAAGAACTTAAGCCAAAAAATCAATGCATAGATGTTCGCAAATATGAGACTGGGATTTATTTCTCGAAAATTTTGCAATAAAATACGCTTTTTAGTTCTTTATTTTTAAAATTAAGACCAGGGATTCTGTCTAACGAAGCTGCAAGCTAAAACACCGTTATTCTATAATATTTATCTGTAATTTGACCCTAAATACTCGTTTATTAAACGAATTTATTGTTAGAGTTCATTAGGAATCAACTTTGGTGAAGGCAGAGTTTCCAATAAATACCTTCCTGTGATTGGCTGTTGCGGGGAATGCCAACGCTTATATGAATAAAATGCAAAATAAGAAATACGTCCTTTTGCTCAATAACCTTGTTGTTGTTGTACAAAAGAACAACAATTTCTGTTAAATACAAGACAGAAATTTCCATCTAACTGAATAATGTAGACCAATAAGAGGGCGGAGGCATTGTACCGCTGATATTATTTGTGTGAGGCAACACCCACTGATGACGTCACAAGTTAGGTAGCCAGCCCATGTTTTTGTAACACTCGTTACATCCTGCAGTATTTAATTATCTCTTTATTAATACTTTCAAATACTTAACATTTCACTTTTTAGGTAGATTAAAGTTGAAGCAGAACGTCATAAGCAAGGATGGTGTGCTGAATAAATATGATTTATTAAGTGGATGGAGCCTTTAGCTGATCCCTTCCTGTGATTGGCTGTTGTGTGAATGTCAACAAAGAATGACGTTGTATCCTCACATTCCTTATGTACATTCTTGTATATGCATAAATAAATAAATAAAAGAATATCTACCAATGATATGCCATTTATTATGCACCCCCATACCATTTGTGGGCGGAGCTTGGAACCTCCTACCCGAGCACAACAACCCACCTTATGGGTTGCTGTTTGGCTATTTATAGTGCGTTGGAAAAAAACGAGATGGCGTTAGTTGTATTTTGTAGGGTAATTTGTTATAAGTGTAATTTGATGTCAACAGATGGCGTAAGCTGTATCTTATGGCCACTATTGACCAGCTAGTTGATAGTGTTCTCTTCTGCCGACAGATGGCATCAGCTGTATCATTATTACTTCCGAATTCCCTTTAAACACTGATCTACAAATCCCTTGGCTTATAATAAGGTTTTATACCATTTATGAAAAGTATTAGATAACGAGTTACGCAATTACTTTTATTTATCAACTGTTCAGGATATCATCATATAACGTCTGGTTAGGACGTACTGCTCTCGATTGATGAAGATTAAGCCACCCAAGAGGTGGCACGGGCATGAATAGCCCGTAAATACTGCTTGCGTAATATTATTCAGGAGGGGTGGAGGAACTATCAAGTGAAAGCGCCAAGCCATTACGACTATATAGCACTCGGAAGGGATCAGGATACGGATTTGGGATGGAACAGGGGAAAGGAATAGTGCCCAACCTCTTGGGCGGTCGGGGATTGAACGCGGACCTGTAGGAAAGGAGACCGTCGCTCTACCATCCAGCCCAAGTGGTTAAGCGTAATATTATTAAAACAACAATTTATGCATATAATAACAGCATTTCACACTAAAAATACTTGATATTGAAATTTGGTAGTGAATTCCAATCTAGGAATCTCCTATGACTAAACTGTACTTTTTAATTATTTTTATGTACTTACTACTTATTATTAAATTATTAAGTACATACTATAATAATTAAATAAAATATTTTATTTAATATTTAAATTAAACGATAAAATAATAGGTAATAATAAATCATTGTGTGGGGGGGGGACAGGCAGCCAGTGTATATATATATATATACATGTTAGGCTTATACCAAGGTCCCACAAAGGTGCCACAAAGGTGCCACAAAGGTGCCAAATTAAAGACTGGGTGCTGCCGGGGCGGGCCCAAGGGCTGCTGGCGGCCCTGGCCAGGCTGAACTTCCGCGCCCTTATAATCACCATTGTTTAATAATCTTCACAGGGAGAAACAACTGTAAATATAGGAATAGTTTATTACAACATACACGGTAAAGAAAACAGCTCGGAAACTAAGGAAATAAAGCTGCCGAAAAAACATTAAAAGTCCATTTGAAGTTCAAGAATGTTTATTGTCGGTTCGTTCATGCTAGGCTTGCAGTTACACAACTGGTCGGGGTCCGCTTACACAACTGGTCGGGGTTCGGGGTGCACAACAAACTACCACTCACTGGTTGAATAGGGGATGTTTAATGAACTATCCACCTCTGGCGGCAAAAAATAAATAAATATATATATATATATATATATATATATATATATATATATATATATATATATATATATATATATATATATATATATATATATATATATATATATGTCGTACCTAGTAGCCAGAACGCACTTCTATGCCTACTATGCAAGGCCCGATTTGCCTAATAAGCCAAGTTTTCATGAATTAATGTTTTTTCGACTACCTAACCTACCTAACCTAACCTAACCTAACTTTTTCTGCTACCAAACCTAACCTAACCTATAAAGATAGGTTAGGTTAGGTTAGGTAGGGTTGGTTAGGTTCGGTCATATATCTACGTTAATTTTAACTCCAATAAAAAAAAATTACCTCATACATAATGAAATGGGTAACTTTATCATTTCATAAGAAAATAATTAGAAAAAATATATTAATTCAGGAAAACTTGGCTTATTAGGCAAATCGGGCCTTGAATAGTAGGCATAGAAGTGCGTTCTGGCTACTAGGTACGACATATATATATATATATATATATATATATATATATATATATATATATATATATATATATATATATATATATATATATATATATATGTGTGTATGTGCAGAAATAATATTAATAAAACAATTAACATCGTGTAGTGTACTCTATGTATCAAAATATATTACTTTAAAACCCATATCATTCACTAAATAAAAATTGGGCTACTCTTATTACAAATTCGCTACTTTTTGGCCGTCAGCTCGCTACTTTCCGCAATTTGGATCTGGCAACCCTGTGTGCAGGCTTGCAACAGTAGCACACCAGACTTTGTGAGAGGAGGAGGTAGGTGTCCAGTACCCAGCCCTCACCAGTACCTCTCAGCGTACTGGTGAGGGCTGGGTACTTGGACCCGTCGCCTCCAAGGCTCACTAGAATTCGTTTTCTCGGGGGCAGGAAACCTGTGTATATATATACTTTAAGGCTTCCATAGAAGTTTTCCCAAGGGGCAACTATTGTCCTTCCCGAAGACACAACAGTTGTGTAACTCCCGTGTACTTATTTACTACTGGGTGAACAGAGGAAGTAGGAAAATGAAAGATGCGAAGGCATTCCTGTCCGGCCAGGGAATGTCCCTGGAGTGTGAGTGTTGAAGGACTCCGAGTGTGTCAGACATTATCGGTATATACTTCGCAGACCTTAGTGGCGGCGTTCATTGGCTCGTTGGTACCTACTTTACTAGTGGTAGATACCACTTTACTAGTGGTAGTTACCGCTTTACTAGTGGTGGTTACCACTTTACTAGTTGTAGTTTACGCTTTCTATAGTGGCAGTTATTGCTTTATTGATAACTGGTACATACAGCAGTTGTGGGGGTGGACGCTCCCCGGGGCTCTGTGCTCCTCGTGGAGTGTGGCACACACGGGCCCAAACTATATCCATTGGATAAAAAAAAATAATATTCCAAAACTCTTGGATGTTAATGAGCAGTCACATGCCCTCTAGCTATTTGACGGGGCCCAGGAGGGGAAGTCCAACCCCGCCAACATACACGCCAGCCTGGCCTGCCTGTCGTGAGAGAGCTTTTGCTGTCCAGGATGAAATCAATATGTAAGTACTTCACAACTTCACTGACGCAAAGGTTCAACTCCATCGACACACAGGTTCAACTCCACCAACACAAAGGTTCTCCTCCCACAGTGACCTCCACCTCTACTCCCACAGTGACCTCCACCTCTGCTCCCACAGTAACCTCCGCCTTTGCTCCTAAAATGACTTCCACCTCTGCTCCCACAGTGACCTGGATGAGAGAGTGCCAGCATGCCAGAGTACAGACTGATCTACTTCGACGCCATGGGGCGGGCCGAGCTCGTACGGTGGATCTTCGCCATGGCGGACATCGCTTACACTGACGAGCGGGTGTCCTCAGAGGACTGGCCGGAGAGGAAGAAGAGTGAGTACTAGCCTTTCTCTCGAAACTGGGGATGGATATACAATAATTATATCTAATTATGAAATAATGATGATACAAGAATAATTTATATATAAGCTATACTATAAAATTTACATTAAATGAGTTGATAAAAGAGTGTAATCTATATAAATAAAAATTTAAATGTTCGTTTTGTTCGAAATCGCTAATCTTCGAAAGTTCTTCACTGATTGCTTAGAAATTTTCACAACGTTCCATTCGAATACCCGGGTGTTTTTATATACTTACTATATAGATGCCACACCTGTTACAGGTAAAAACATTTTTTTTAAACAGTGCCATTTGTTGGACGTAAAAGCTACCTGACTGACACATTAGGTTCTCTAGGAGCCCCTACCTGACTGACACATTGTCAGCCAGGTAGGGGCGAGGCCACTAGTCCCATGCTTGGTGTGCCAGGTATCCCAGGCGGGAAGCTGCCGGTGCTGATGGTGGACGACAAGGTGCTGAGGCAGTCCATGGCCATCGCCAGGTACGTGGCCAGGGAGGCCGGCCTCGTCCCGCAGGACAACCTGGAGGCCGCCTTCTGTGACTCCCTCGTCGAGACCGTCTCAGAGATCCTCCTTCACCTCCACAAGATTATGTAGGTCCCGACTGGCCTCCTGTTCCACCCACCTTCATCCTCTACACCCACTCACCTCCACCCTCTACACCCACCACCACCACCCTCTACACCCACCACCACCACCCTCTACACCCACCACCAGCACCCTCTACACCCACCACCACCACCCTCTACACCCACCACCAGCACCCTCTACACCCACCACCACCACCCTCTACACCCACCCAGTACCAGTTGGGGCGGGGTAGAGGTCACAATAATACTCCCACACTGGGGCTGGTGCCAGCGCCTGCATGGGTGACCACAGCCCCGGTCCTCAGAGCACGACAACATTGGCCACGACGCTGGCTCCAGCCCCAGCCTCTTCCAGTCATTTTCTCAAACTTGGGATATTTGGCTAAAGGTTGGCTAAAAGTTTGGACAATATATGTGTGCATAAAATAACTGCACATTTCTTGGACAATTATGATAGGATGAGTTAGCCTAAGCATTGTTATACTAATTTGACAGTTAATTTCAATAACACGATCAACAACGCTCGGAATATTAAATTCCTTTCTCATATTAAGTATCTTTGTGGTACGAGGGCACTAAAGGATTATAGAAATTTTAGCCAATTATCCCCAGTTTGCAAACTGTAGGTAGTAATTAAGTGATTGTAATCTATCCACCGCTGCCCACAGGATGGGGGGCGGTGTGCAGGACAAATTATCAATTGTGACACTAGCTCTCCACATATGTCAGTTGCTTAATTTAGAAATTATACTTGTGGTCGATCTCGAACCCATTGTTGATGTGACGACTTATACTGAATTTTGTAACTAGCTCATCAAGATTGTAACTTGCTTAGCTAAATGAATTGTGGGGTTCAGTCCCTGAGCCCATTATGTGCATCTGTAACCCATTCCACCACCGCCCAGAGGATGGGTATGGGGTGCATAATAAATGAACTAAACTAACTAAACTAATTGTGATAGAAATACATCTAAAGTCTACAATTTTTCACGTTTAGTTACATAGTCACTATCTGTATGTAAAATGTAAATTGCTAATAGTGTACATCTAGTCAGATTCACGTCAGCAAGTGGCACGAACTGCCAGAGACACTTGTAGCCGAGTCTAAGTCAACACGTCATACTGTTACCAGTTATCTGCTGACCTTACAGGACGACCTTAGATATGTGGCCCCTGCATGCTTAGTAGCAAGCGTCGTGACAATATAAGTAATAATAATTGCACCTTGTCTCACGTTTACTAAAGCCACATGTATATCAGGAGTCTGTGATTAATGCCAGTATGAGGAGAGCCAGAGGTATGTGAGGGGCGCCAGTATGAGGAAAGCCAGGTGTATGTGAGGGGGTGCTAGTATGAGGAAAGCCAGAGGTGTGACAGATCAGTGTTGTCTGACGCAGGAGGACCACAGAGGACCAGCAGGAGAGGAACACCAAGATAGAGCAGGAACTCATCCCCAACTACGTGGAGCCCTTCTTCACCAGCCTCGACTCCCAGATCCAGGACCACGAGTGGTACTTCGGGGACCAAGTGAGTCATTCATGGTCCAGGCGAGTCATTCATGGTTAAAGTGATTTATTCATGACCTAGATGAGTCACATCATGACCGAGATGAGTCACATCATGACCCAGATGAGTCACATCATACCCCAGATGAGTCACGTCATGACCGAGATTGTTGATTTGTATTTGTTTATGATTATCAGGTGACCTGGGCTGACCTGATGATCGGACGGGCCTTCTGCACGATGGTACTCACCAACGAGGACCTCTTTAACAAGTTCCCGGCTGTACGCTCCTATGTTGAGAAGGTGTGTGCTCTGCCTGGCATACAAGACTGGATCCAGAACCGCCCGCAGACCACCTTCTAGTCCCAGAGCGCTCCACTCGTGTCATTATAGTCCCAGAGCGCTCCACTCGTGTCATTATAGTCTCAGATCACTCCACTCATGTTCTTATATTCCTAGCTAGCACTCCACTCATGTCTTTATAGTCCAAGAACCGTCCAGGCAAGTGCTAAATGAATTGCTGTCTGCTAACGTTGTAATATATTTTATGTATCGATCTTGTACTTACCAAATAAGCAGATAAATGTATAACATAACATGCTTGTCATGTAATACTTCTAATGCTGTGCACATTTTTAATTGTGAGCCACCCCATGCAGCTGGCATTGCCATTTTCTAGCACAAAATATGTGGAGTTTGTGGAAGTTAAAGAAGGCATGAACTCTAACATGTTCATGCCTTACACTGATATATCAGGAAGGCATATTTGTAGGGAGATATGGTGTCGCAAACTTTTCAGGTGTGTGTAGGGCCACACACCTGTTGCATGCTTGTAGGACTCTCATGGCTGTTGTTGGCAACACTGTTACCCTGCTAAGGGATGAAGCCTAAACATCACCCAACGATAACCGCTTGAAATTATGAGATTATGTCAGCTGTTGTTGGTATTATGTCAGCTGTTGTTGGTATTATGTCAGCTGTTGTTGGGATTATGTCAGCTGTTGTTGGGATTATGTCAGCTGTTATTGGTATTATGTCAGCTGTTGTTGGGATTATGTCAGCTGTTGTTGGGATTATGTCAGCTGTTGTTGGGATTATGTCAGCTGTTATTGGTATTATGTCAGCTGTTGTTGGGATTATGTCAGCTGTTGTTGGGATTATGTCAGCTGTTGTTGGGATTATGTCAGCTGTTGTTGGGATTATGTCAGCTGTTATTGGTATTATGTCAGCTGTTGTTGGGATTATGTCAGCTGTTGTTGGGATTATGTCAGCTGTTGTTGGGATTATGTCAGCTGTTATTGGTATTATGTCAGCTGTTGTTGGTATTATGTCAGCTGTTGTTCGAGTCATGTCATCTCTTATAGTCATGTCACTTTGTGTATGATGATTAGACTGTCATGAGCTGTGTGTAAATATTCTCACTATTTAATTTATGTTAATGAGTTAATACATGAAAGTGCACCATTTGTTCGTTTAATTTTTCCTAATGGTTATGTATATATATATATATATATATATATATATATATATATATATATATATATATATATATATATATATATATATATTTATATATATATATTTATATATATACTGTATGTATATATATATATATAATTTATATATATATATATATATATATATATATATATATATATATTTATATATATATATTTTATATATATACTGTATGTATATATATATATATAATTTATATATATTTATATATATACTGTATATATATATATATATATATATATATATATATATATATATATATATATATATATATATATATATATATATATATATATATATATATATATAATGTTGTTAAATATGACCGAAAAGGTAAGATTAATAATTCTAACACGAATTTTCTCAATATTTCTTATGTTCCTTTTCACTGTCGATGGTAATTGAAAAATCAGTTCTCCAAAATTCATTTTTATTTCTAGTCTGACGCGACGCCTGAACGCGTTTCATATTAACTTATTACTTTTCAAAGACTTTAGTTTACACACACAACTGTAACCTGTAACCACACAAAAATACATCCATACTTATACTTTATTTGCTGCGTCTTGTTCCACGATCCACGAGTTCACTAATAATGACAGTTCGAGCAGCAAGGTACAGCCGTGGGAAGTTGAGATGAAGGTGGTCCGTCTCCCTAAAATCAAAGCGGAGACTCAGCAGGATGTCGAGGTCCTCCTCGCTTGTGAAGTAGAAGACGATGTCAGTGCCTTCCTGACCGATGTCGATAGGTGTTACGTCGCCGACGTTTTTGAGGAGCTTCAGGAGGGACGTCTTGGAGAACGTCTGCTCGAAGAGGGGCGTAGCAAGGACCTTGTAGCGGTTGTGACGCATGGTAGTGTTCTGCCTGGTTATATATCTGCCTTATATTTACCCCTCCGGCAGCGTTGGGTGCTAGAGCGAATCGTGATGTCTGTGATCGTGATGCACCACACTAGAAATAAATATATAAAGATATCCCCAGAATTAAACTAAATCTGTGCAAACATTCCATGCAAATAAAAGTACCCAGTATATGGAACTCACTCCCTAATTAATTAAAATAAATCCAACCTATTCTTTTTTCAAAAGTAAAACCAAAATGTACCTAATTTCATCCTCATAGTTTCCTACCTTGTGCTTCAAACTTTTTTCTTTATTAACATGCTTAGGTATACACAGCAATGTGCTGCTACCCTCTTCTATATGAAAGATTACAAAGTGTAGAACAAGAACTAGCTATAAGTTCAGTCTCCGTGGTGTAGTGGTAAGACACTCGCCTGGCGTTCCGCGAGCGCTATGTCATGGGTTCGTATCCTGGCCGGGGAGGATTTACTGGGCGCAATTCCTTAACTGTAGCCTCTGTTTAACGCAACAGTAAAATGTGTACTTGGATGAAAAAACGATTCTTCGCGGCAGGGGATCGTATTCCAGGGACCATAGGATTAAGGACTTGCCCGAAACGCTACGCGTACTAGTGGCTGTACAAGAATGTAACAACTCTTGTATATATCTCAAAAAAAAAAAAAAAAAAAAAAAAAAAAAAAAAAAAAAAAAAAATAATAATCCCACCTCACAGGATGGTTGGTCATATATGGAATCAGGGGAGAAAATACCAGCCTCAATATAAAAACACAAATGAGACTCCGAAACTTTTGCTCTTTGCATTAATAATGTTGCCAATAATGGATGTTACAACATTCCTAGTATATATTTTGCATGTTAGGTTTTTAAGGGTCTGAAGACTGAATCACAGAAAATTACTCCTCCACTGTTCTTCAGTGCATTAGTGGCCAGTTGTAGTGCAGTTAGTTCTGCATGTGTGGCGCTAAGCCGGTTATGGAGTCTCATACTAGTGTTCTGTGTACATATGTTGTCTTTGTATATTCTACAGGCCGCTGCAGTGCGACCTGTTGACATTTGAACAGACCCATCAGCGTATAGTGCTCGTGAGGTCGTACGTTATTCATAAAGGAATCAATAGTTTCAAGTGTTGTTGCTTTTAGGAATGCTGGGTTTTCCTTGCTTTTTTTATTTTTTGCCGCTAGGCGTGTAGGACACTTGTATTTCAGGGTACAGATATAATGGAATATCATTGGCTAATACGTTGCATACAATAGGAATATTTAATTTAATGAGATTGGCAACACTTCTACTCAACCAGCTCGCATGTAGGTTGCCCACTGATGCGTTGGCAACACTCCCTCGCCTACAAACAGCATTAGTCAGTTTTCTCTAGGTAGTAAGGTTGATGTTGGCTCTCTCATTCACACTGTATCTTGTACTACCCACTTCCCCAATTTTAGAACTTATTTAAGACATGCAACTTCCCCAGTGTAATAATCCCCATCAATTCATATTGTAGCTATTATGGTAAACTCAAATTCTGCTACAATGTACCTATTTATGTTTTCACTTTTACTAGTTACATTAAGGACCTGCCCTCAACTCTATGTGTGCTAGTGGCCAAGAGTTAGGAGATACATTATATCCGTGACTGCCCTGTTATCAATGATCCAGAGCAAATGGTATGAGGTACTTTGAGCTCTGAAACTACTGTACTTCATTCACTCACGAATACACGAATATTGGAAGATATTCGCCTGTACCCCAGATTCTGCTAGTGTAGGCTACTAGATCAGCCTTGTATTTCATGTTCTCTCCTGATTCCATGTATGACTAACCATCCTGTGAGATGGGGATATTAGATGAACTTATAGCTAGTTTTTTATCTACATTTGTAATCTTTCATATGAAATAGGGTAGCAGCACATTGCTGTGTATACCTAAGCTTGTTAATAAAAAATAAAAGGTTGCTTCGCAAGGATGTAAGAACACCGGTGTTATGTACTCTCACAAAACAATTGACCCTTCTTGTAAATAAATAAATAAATAAATATTTTTACAAAGCCACTAACGCATAGCGTTTCTGGCAACAAATAATATTAATAATAATCATCAAAATCTAATAAAATCGGCTTGATATCTTTATTGCTTTTACATCAGAGTAGTAGTTAAGTAGAATAATATAAAATATAGTGATAGGATAGCATCATTGACCATGAAATATATAAAAGGTCACTAAACTCAGACACCCTGAAAATCAGATCAGCCAAAAAGGAACTACGAAAGAAAACTTGCCTAACACATAAAGAAAGATCCAAAGTCGTTCTGTGTCTATATACGAAGTAAAACCAAAACAAAGGACTCTGTAAAAGCTCTAAAAGTTTTAATTTCGCTACTTGCTACTTTTTGGGCTTTTTGGTAAAAGCAAGATGTGCTAATTTGGGCTATTAAAGTTAAGAATGTACGATAGCGAGTTACATGAAAGTAACTAAGCTATAAATAATTGTAAATATTAATTAATACTAAATAATATTATTTAATAAATTAGTCCTAATTTAATGCAGAGTTAATACAAGATAATAGATAGATCGATAAATAAATAGACAACTTTCAAATATTGCACCAAGTAATGGCGAGAGGAAAAAAACTAGACAGTATACATTACATTTGAAATTAATAATGGATGAATGGTAATAAATTGGTGTATGTATTCCAGACAAAGTCCATTTAATGGCAGAATTTAGCCATTTTGTGTAAAAACTTTTATATCTCATATTATTAATTATAACTAATCGAAAAAAGTCATAGTTTGTATATACAAGAGATGAAACAGAGCCATGAGCTAGAACGATGTACTGAGTCCGAGGAGGCCGAGCTTCCAGAGACACCTTCCTGTGATTGGCTGTTGCGGGGAATACCAACACTGTTGACCAGACCACACACTAGAAATTGAAGGGACGACGACGTTTCGGTCCGTCCTGGACCATTCTCAAGTCAATCGACTTGAGAATGGTCCAGGACGGACCGAAACGTCGTCGTCCCTTCAATTTCTAGTGTGTGGTCTGGTCAACATACTTCAGCCACGTTATTGTGACTCATCGCCTGAATACCAACACTCTTTTATGAATAATATTTAAACTAAGAAATAGGTCCTTGTGCACAACAACAAGGTTGTTGTGAAAAAGAACAACAATTTCTGTTTTACACCTGACAGAAATCTCCATCTAACTGAATAATTTACTCTAATAAGAGGGCAGAGCAGTGTATCATTATTTGTGTGAGGCAACCCCCCCTGATGACGTCACAAGTTAGGTAGCCAGCCCATGTTTCTGTAACACTCGTTACATCCTGCAGTATTTAATTATCACTATATTAATACTTTTAAATACTTAACATTTCACTTTTTAGGTAGATTAAAGTTGAAGCAGAATGTTATAAGCAAGGATGGTGTGCTGAATAAATATGATTTATTAAGTGGATGGAGCCTTTAGCTGATCCCTTCCTGTGATTGGCTGTTGTGTGAATGTCAACAAAGAATATCTACCAATGATATGCCATTTATTATGCACAACATACCATTTGTGGGCGGAGCTTGGAACCTCCTACCCGAGCACAACAACCCACCTTATGGGTTGCTGTTTGGCTATTTATAGTGCGTTGGAAAAAACAGAGATGGCGTTAGTTGTATTTTGCAGGGTAATTTGTTATAGGTGTAATTTGATGTCAACAGATGGCGTAAGCTGTATCTTATGGCCACTATATATTGACCAGCTAGTTGATAGTGTTCTCTTCTGCCGACAGATGGCATCAGCTGTATTATTATTACTTCCGAATTCCCTTTAAACACTGATCTACAAATCCCTTGGCTTATGATAAGGTTTTATACCATTTATTATAAGTATTAGATAACTGGAGTTCTGCAATTACTTTTATTTATCAACTGTTTAGGATATCATCATATAACGTCTGGTTAGGACGTACTGCTCTCGATTGATGAAGATTAAGCCACCCAAGAGGTGGCACGGGCATGAATAGCCCGTACATACTGCTCTCGTAATATTATTCAGGGGGGTGGAGGAACTATCAAATGAAAGCGCCAAGCCCTTACGACTATATAGCACTCGGAAGGGATCAGGATACAGATTTGGGATGGAACGGGGGAAAGGAATAGTGCCCAACCTTTTGGGCGGTCGGGGATTGAACGCGGACCTGTAAGAAAGGAGACCGTCGCTCTACCGTCCAGCCCAAGTGGTTAAGCGTAATATTGTTAAAACAACAATTTATGCATATAATTACAGCATTTCACACTAAAAATACTTGATATTGAAATTTGGTAGTGAATTCCAATCTAGGAATCTCCTATGTCTAAACTGTACTTTTTAATTATTTTTATGTACTTACTACTTATTATTAAATTATTAAGTACTTACTATAATAATTAAATAAATTATTATATTTAATATTTAAATTAAACGATAAAATAATAGGTAAAATCATTGTGCAGGGGACAGGCAGCCAGTGTGTTTATATATACATTTTAGGCTTATACCAAGGTGCCACAAAGGTGCCACAAAGGTGCCAAATTAAAGACTGGGTGCTGCCGGGGCGGGCCCAAGGGCTGCTGGCGGCCCTGGCCACGCTGAACTTCCGCGCCCTTATAATCACCATTGTTTAATAATCTTCACAGGGAGAAACAACTGTAAATATAGGAATAGTTTATTACAACATACACGGTAAAGAAAACAGCTCGGAAACTAAGGAAATAAAGCTGCCGAAAAAACATTAAAGTCCATTTTAAGTTCAAGTATGTTTATTGAGACAATAAAAAAAATACATCTCAAAGGGATAGAGTAGCTTAGGCTATTTCTACCCCCCCCCGCATCTACTTTAAGTCCCTCAAGGGCGCACAAATTCAGTGAGTACAAATACACAAATTACAAAACAAGAATCCCATTAACATAGCAGGTTAAAATAGGAAGCACAGCATATAAGTGTTACAAGTTACAAGGGAACAAGTGATATATACATACATATATATCTATATATGTATGTATGTATGTATGTATGTATGTATGTATGTATGTATGTATGTATGTATGTATGTATGTATGTATGTATGTATGTATGTATGTATGTATGTATGTGTGTGTTTGTGTGTGCAGAAATAGTATTAATAAAACAATTAACATCGTGTAGTGTACTCTATATATCAAAACATATTACTTTAAAACCCATATCATTTATTAAAAAGAATTGAGCAACTCTTATTACAAATGCGCTACCTTTAGACCGTCTGCTCGCTACTTTCAGCAATTTAGACCTGGCAACCGAGGGAGAGGCGCCACAACAACAACACCACCAGACACAGTCTCTCATTACTGTGTATCACCGTCGTCCTCTCTTCTAACCTCACCTATACAGATTTAACTGTGAATTCAGAGTAAAGAGACACCGGACCAGTAATTACAAGCTCAGCAGGGACACTCCGAGTGTGTGTGTACGCCACAAGGAGACCCGGGACACGCCGCAGCAAGGGGATGGAGAAACTGTGATTTGAACTACAGACTTGACAGGAACCTTATGGTGAAATGGATCGCAAGGGACCTCGTGGAGCCAAGCCCAAAAATGTTCCGTTGCCCGGCAATCTCATCACTCTTGGGAACAAGTCTGGCCGAGGGGACACTCAGATTGATAAGAGTTCCAGTCATGGGTCATCGTTTGTTCCCAGTAAGGCATCTGGTAAGTCAGAAATTATGTTGAGGACCACGCCTCTAACATCACTCGCCTCTAACATCACTCGCCACTAACATCACTCGCCACTAACATCACTCGCCACTAACATCACTCGCTACTAACATCACTTTCCACTAACATCATTCGCTACTAACATCACTTTCCACTAACATCACTTTCCACTAACATCACTCACCACTAACATCACTCACCACTAACATCACTCACCACTAACATCACTCGCTACTAACATCACTCGCTACTAACATCACTCGCTACTAACATCACTCGCTACTAACATCACTCGCTACTAACATCACTTTCCACTAACATCACTTTCCACTAACATCACTCGCTACTAACATCACTCGCTACTAACATCACTTTCCACTAACATCACTTTCCACTAACATCATTCGCTACTAACATCACTTTCCACTAACATCACTTTCCACTAACATCACTCACCACTAACATCACTCACCACTAACATCACTCACCACTAACATCACTCACCACTAACATCACTCGCTACTAACATCACTTTCCACTAACATTACTCACCACTATTTATTTATTTATTTATATACTGTAAATACAAGAAGGTACATTGGATTTGTGAGGATACATAGCATGGTGTTTATATTCTTGTAAAGCCACTAGTACGCGCAGCGTTTCAAGCAGGTCCTTAATCTAACAGATAATTTTAAGTAGGTAAATTCTAGCAGAATTTATAAAATGTTAACAGGTCCATTGTAAGAAAAAAAGGACAGAGATTAGGTATATTAAAGCACATTGGTAGCTCTGATTGATTGCATTGACAGCTTGATTGATAATTTAACAAAGATTAATAATTAACTAAATGATTTAAATTTAATAAATAACTAAATGATTTGAATATAATAATTAACTAAATAGTTAATCAAAGATTAACAAAGAATACTAATTACGATATAAATTCATTAGCTAACCTCTTCCTCTCCAAAACTCTAAGCCTCTACTACACTCATTGTCCCCTTCTTACCAAGCAAGTAACTGACAAATGAATAAACAATCCGTGGCTCACAAGTGGTATATTCAAATCAATCAACAAAAAACATGAATATGAAAAGAAACTTAAGGTTGGCCTAGTTACAAAGGAAGTAGTTAAAAGGTACTCATCAGTGCTTACCAGTATCATAAGAAAGGCAAAACTTTCATATTATGAGAATTAATTCTCTTATGAGAATTAAGAATAGATTCAATGAAGCAAAAGGCAACATGACAAACACATGGAAAACCATCTCTAGTATCCTAGGAACTAAACAACACTTACATAACCAAATAAAACTCTATAAGGATGGCTATACACCGTCAACTGATGTAGAAATGGCAAATAAATTTAATAGCTTCTTTTCATCAGTTGGTGCTAACCATGCCAGAAAAATCCCACAGACTCAGACACACATTAACACATATCTCTCAGGCAGCTATCCAAATTATCTTCTCCTTTCACCAGTCAGCCCGGCAGATGCTGTGTCCATCATAAACTCACTAAAAACCAAGGCAGGGAACACCAGTGAAATTCCATCCATTGTATACAAGAGCGCCTCCCATGCCCTTGCGCCACCCATAGCTCTACTGTTCAACAAATCCATAGAGTGTCATACCTTCCCTGATATACTTAAAAAAACAAGAGTAACGCCAGTCCATAAAGGAGGCAATCTGGCGGACATAAACAATTATAGACCAATATCTAACCTACCCGTTCTATAAAAAATATTTGAAAAAATTATCTACAAACAGCTCTATTCCTACCTCGTAAAATTCGACATACTCGGCCCCCTCCTGCCAGTTTGACTTCCGGTCCCAAAAGAGCACCAGTGATGCAATCATTAGTCTCCTTGACGTAATCTACTCAGCCCTTGACAAAAATTAGTTTCCGATTGAACTCTTCATTGACCTAAGAAAAGACTTTGATACTGTTAATCACAACTACCTCTTACTTTAACTCTAGCATTATGGAATCCGAGGCCTTGCCCTAGACTATATCCGATCCTATCTTAGTGACAGACACCAATGTGTAGCCATCAATGATGCAACCTCTTCCACTCTACCAATAACCGTTGGAGTGCCACAGGGCAGCATCTTGGGACCTCTTCTATTTCTTATATATATATCAATGATCTGTCTAATGTCTCTAATATTCTTAAACCTATATTGTTTGCTGATGATACTACCCTCATCTATTCAGACCCCAACCCACATACACTAAATAATGTTGTGAATAATGAATTAAAAAAAGTCCACTTACTGATGTCAACTAACAAACTATACATAAAATGACCTACATCTTATTTGGGAGCAAGTCATTGAATGCAGTTTGGCTACAGATAGACAACATTAAAATCAGTAATAAAAATGATGGAAAGTTTCTTGGAATATTCCTAGAAAGAGACTCAACTTCAGCACCCACATTCAACACATAACTAAGAAAGTCTCCAAAACAGTTGGTGTACTCTCCAAAATCATATATTATGTTCCTAACTCTGCTCTCCTCTTACTATATTATGCACTAATCTATCCCTATCTTAATTATGGTATCTGTGCATGGGGGTCAACAACTGCAAACCACCTCAAGCCCATCATCACCCAGCAAAAATCTGCTATCAGAATAATAAATAACTCTGCTTTCAGACAACACTCGGCTCCCTTGTTTAAATCCCTTAACATGCTAAATATTAACTCCCTCCACACATTCTCTTGTGTCAACTACATTTGCAAAACCCTGTTCTTAAATGCAAACCATGCTCTGAAACTCACCCTGGACAGATGTAATACAGAGGATGTAATACTCCCTTCCCTCTTGTTTTATTTTTGGTTAAGTAGATCCAGGGAGCCAGAGGAGCTCCCCCAGAAAACCAGCATTGAATGTAATGAAACAGCATTTTCTGGGTGAGACCCGGAGGCTCCTGGCAACCCTCCCTCCCTCCCTTCGGTCGGTGGTTGTCGCAGGTTTTGACATCCAGTCTCAGAACTGTGGGTGGATAGCCGGTGTGGATAGTCTAGAGCTTCCCCTTGCCCCTCTCGGGGAGGGGGGAGCTGCGCAGACAGCGAGGCGGTCACGATTGTGACGTCAAGCTTGTTTGCTCCTTGTTAGTTTGGTGAGTTCTGTCCAACAGTTTGGCTTTCAGTATGAATTTTTTAAGCAGATAGGGTTTGTTTTGGGGTGCCTACCTTTCTGGGTGCCTTATCCAATTGATGGCAGACATAGAATGCTTCCAACCACACAGGGGGTTTCTATAAGCCATAGCTCTTTGTGCCTCCCTGAGGGAGCCAGGTTCTGGCTCGTGGTCCCTGGTAGGCCTAAGAACTCCATTCGCTTTGACTGATGCCAGGTTCTAATACATTTATATCAGCCTGAATGGCTCTGGGGAGCCTCTGGGTCTCGCCCAGAAAATGGCATTTCATTATATTCAACGCTGTTTTTTTTTTATGCCGATATCACATAACCAGCGACCATCCAGAAGCAGGGCCAACCTTACCCCATAAGTTCTTTAAATAAAATTTAGTAAGATTGTTATTTCACGTGTAACACCAATAGTCTAACTTTAAGTGGCCAAGGATGGGTGATAACTTTACAGTATAATGCAGTATTTCATTCAGCTGCACACAAATTATTGAAACATGTGTTGAAATATTTGCAGGGGCTACTGGTGACCGAGTTCGAGATGGAGGAACTGGAACATCTGTCATGCTGGGAAAGAAGCCCAAAACGGCATTTGTGGTTGGATCTAGTGTAGTCCGTCCTGGCGTATCAAAGCAAAGTTCTGTGGATATGGTGAATTTGCTCAGCGAGGAGTGGGAAAATGTAGCTACTGAGGTAAGGTGTTTATTTTCTCAATTTTTATTTATAGAGGACTAATAATGATTGAAATTGGTGGTTGCCTTGTCTGTATATTCCAGAGGGCAGAATGCACACTGTGAGATGGTCGGTATATTCCTTAAGGATGTTAAATGTTATACGCTTTGTATGTTAACTTCATTTACAAAGCACAGGAGTAAAAAATACTCATGTACTGGTACTAAAAATTTGTATGGTATGTTAAAACTCATGGTGCAGATTGTTCCACATTCATTTCAGTTGCCTTCAGATAACATTTAAATTGACACTTGAGACATTCAATATAGGTTTACACATGACTATCCATCCTCCGTTTAACCTTTGGGGTTGGTCCCTTGGTCCCTTCGAGTGGCTCGTTTGCTTAAGATTAAATGGGGTATATACAGAGAGGGAATTTGCAAGTATAGAAACTGCTGACCAGTTCATGGTGCGGTGCAGTGGTGAGAGTGTTGAGAAAAATAAACCATCAGTGGAAGAAAGGGCATCCATTCCTCTTTACTTCATCCATGACAATGCACTCTTGTGGAATTTAAGGTTACTTCTTAACTCATGGTTTAAATATTTCATGGGACACTAAATTGAACTTCTTTGCTACTCATTTAAATACTACCAATGTGAGCTAAGGCTAACTACTTTACTACCAGTTGAAATGTAGTACAGTACATAGTCGTTTTCAATCATTTTCTTTTATTTTAATTCCATATTCATAAATTCACTATTTTTTTTAATTTATTTTTGATGTATATATTGTATAACCTTTTTCATAGGATTAGATAAGTATTGTAATGATAATAAATAGATAAGTGAATGAATAAAATTATTGAATAGCTTTAAATGGCAAATACTGTAAATTTTATATTCACTTAGATTGTAATTCAATCCTGAAGTAATTTTTATTTTGTTTTATTTATACAGGCAGACCCCAACGACCTGATACCATATATTGAGTCTGGGGATGAATATGCAGACAATTCTGAAATGTACTTATGTGGTGCTGTGAAGAGTCTTCGGTCTCAGAGAACAAAACCCGACACCCTGCTGTGCTTCTCCCTCATGTACTTGGTGAAAGTTAAGCCTCATCTCTTCAGTAGGTCAGATATGGTGGTGGAAGCTTTCTGCTCTTTATTAAAAAGAGATCATTCAATGACCTATAAATCTAAAGGCAATGCAGCTGTATCTGTTTTAGCTGCAAATATTCTTCTTGCTGCTTTCCAAGAAGAAAAATCATGGCCAGATATATTTGTACGTGTCTATATTGAAGATTCTCTCGGGGAACGTGTGTGGGTTGACCACGAGGACTGTAAGGGCTTTGTGGATAACATTGCCACAGCCTTCAAAACAAAATTACCTCCAAAAAGTCTCTTGTATCCTGATCTTGGCATGGGAAGTCGCCCGGACTGTCCCTCTCCCCCAGTGTCTGGTGGGTCAGGAGGAGGAGCTGACTCGGGTGATGGTGACTCAGAGCTATCTCTTGAGTGCAAGGAGAGTTTAGATGTCAGTGTTACTAACCGATATGCAGGGGTGTTGTCAGAAATAGAAGAAATGGTTATGGAAGCTGTACAACACCAGCTCGGGGTGAGGCACCAGAGCCCCGATGCTGTAGCTAGAAATTTCATCCGCTTTCTATCTTCTGTTTGTGGTATTCTGGAAGTGCGACGGCATGTTGCTTCAAGACTAGAAATGTGGCTCCAAAGTCCAAAACTTCAGAGACCAGCGACAGAACTTCTCATGTCCTTATGTTTAAATTGTAACACTCATTCTCAACTGGATATTGAATGCATCAGTCACATAATTCGAATTCGTTTAAAACACAAACCCCTCATCAACCAGTACATGTCATGCTTGAAAGAACTTCTTGCAGCCCATCCTGATAATATTCCCTCAGTCATGAAGCATACATTATATAATGAATTATCCCAGGCCAGAAATCCAAGCAATATGTCCATTCTATCAGTTATTTTTCAGTTTGCACCAGAGCATGCTGCTATCATACTTGCAGAAGAGTTCCAAGAACTTCTTTGCAACAGAGAGGATTTTCTTAGAGCACTCAGAGCCCTGTTACGTGAGATTGTACGGGCATTACGGCATGACATGCAGTTCCAAAAGTTTTGCCATGGACTCATGAAAGACCGTAAAGATCCAGCATTTCGTGAGAGTTTTGAATTTAAAGAACGAATGTTTCACAGTATTACAGATCTTATTGTGCTTACTGTTTTTGTAGCCATTTCCCCACAAGTTAGAGAAAGTGCTGCACAAATGTATCGAGGTGAACACAGGGATCCTGAATCGGTACGACGATACCAGGATATGGTGGCTTCTATACAGCGTGATGCTATTCACTGGCTTTACAGAGTAGTTCCCAAGTGTTATAACCCTAGCAAAGAAGAGTATAACCGCTGTATGCATAAAATCCTTATGTTTGAACAAGCAGAAGTATACTTCATAAAGGACAATTGGCCCACAGAAAATGATCGGCCGTTGTATTTTAGATTAACTTCAGAAATCCCAGTGAAGCAAGAAACTCTTACAAGGCTGCTCATGATTGCTGTGATGAAGGATCAATGGATGAAATCTCAGGATTTGATAGAATTAGTTGACAAGCTTATTAAGAGAGCTACAGCTCTTCACAATGATGATATGGAAGTCTTACGTCTCGAAGACACAAAAATTGTTGAGCTGATATTTAATCTATGTCCTTATATTCCTCCTGAGAATTCTCCTCTACCACAAGGGTATAGGCCTCCAAAGACAGCCATTGCTAACTTGTATTGGAAGTCATGGATTATGCTTTTGCTCATAACTGCACACAATCCAACTGTGTTTGGACTATTGGCATGGGAGTCATACCCGACTCTGCGCACTCTTATGGAAATGTGCATCACCAATTCTTTTGTTTTTCCACCACCTACATTAGCTTCTGGGGAGAAGGGTGAAGAGATGACTGCTCAAGAAATGCACCTTTGTGCTCTTGAACGTCAGCAGATATTGGATTTTGAATCTCACCTAGCTCAGAAGACAATCACTGAGCAAAATAGTCTGCTTCTTAGTCAATTAATAACTATGGATCCTACTGGACCTGCTCGTAAACCTCCCACTATTGTTTTAGAACAGTTAAAAGCTCTTAATACTTCTCACAAAGTTGGACACCTTCTCTGCCGTAGCCGAAATCCTGACTTTTTGGTAGATATAATACAGCGACAAGGAGCTTCTCAGAGCATGCCATGGTTAGCAGAATTGGTACAGAGCAGTGAAGGTGCTTTTTCTGTTCTACCAGTGCAGTGTTTATGTGAATTTCTACTTAGTGAAGCTGGTACAGGAAATAGCGGAGAAGGTGCAACTAGACATCATCAGCTGTTGCAGCACTTGCGTTCTTTGCTGCGTGCACCTCGTCAAGAAGATGGTGTCAGTGTAGAAATTTTAGAATACTTTTTGAGACGCTTGAGCTCCCAGCAGGCTTTGGCTCGCACACAGGCTGTACGAGGACTGCAGCTAGTGGTGGCTCCTCTTAATGACCCTATGGAAATTGACAGTGACACTCATGCACCACATGCTTGGCTGCTTCAACATCTTCCTAATCTGCCAGGTTTTGAGTTAGTTCAAGGAGTTGCAAGCCAAGCTCTTAGGGCTGCTTGTCAAATTGAAACTGACCCACATGCTGTGAGTGCATACATTCGATTTTTGGCAGTACATACTAGAGATGATCCACTTCAAGATCAGGCAGAATTAGTTCAAGACATGGCACAACTGATTGTAGAAAGATGCACCATGATTTTGGCCATATTACCAATGCCAGACCGTCCAAATCAACCATTCCCTCATGCACATAGCACACTCAAAGCCTTACTGATAATTTTCATCAACTACATGCGAGGTGTTAGGTTGCCACCACGAGAATCTTTTACATGGTCAGAGAGTCAAGATCAGGTGCGTGTACAGTGGGCATCTGGAGAGCAGGCTGTCATGCACATACTTGTTGTTCATGCAATGGTGATTCTTCTTACTCATGGTCCTGACAATAGTCCAGATCTCTTTCATGAACTTTTAACAACATGGTTTCCAGAACAAGAGGAAATGCCACAAGCATTCTTGGTTGATACATCAGAAGAAGCTCTTCTCCTACCTGATTGGCTCAAACTCAAAATGATCAGATCCACAGTGCCCCAGCTTGTTGACGCTGCTCTGAAGGTAATTTTGTGTTATTGTTTGAATAAAGTACTGTACCACATAAAACTTCATAACAAAATTTTATGAAAAGTATTATTACACATTATTATACAGTTAAGTCTCTCAAATCCAAAATGTGTGGTGCTAAGGGCATTTACTTTTTTATAATTTTGACTTTTAGAACGTTTTCCCTACTTCTTAGTCAAGGATCCTACCTAACTAATATTTGCATGCCTGTCAAATTTTGTTAAACTTGTTTTTCTTGTGCTTTCTACACTAGTACTTTTATCATTACATTGCAATATTTTTACTTGTGCTTAACCCTTGTGTTGCTCAGGGCTATTTGGCCATTGTCACCCACAGGTGCATAACAAAAAAAAAAAATTCTTCTAAACATGTTGATTTGTGTTCTCTGATCATGGGAAAAACAATAAAAAAATCGTAAGTGGCATATTTTGCCCGCTATAGAGCAAGGAAGTCTGGCAAAAAAGAAGCGTAGTTAGCAAAGTACTGCTAACCAGTTGGCCCAAACTACCAAGAGATCAATTACAGCTGAACCCCATCGATGTATACAGTCACAGGGACCTAGTGGGGAACCACTAGGGGCCAGGTTCTGGCTCGTGGTTCTCGGTAGGCTAGAATGCCAATCGAATTGACGGATGCCACGGTCTAATACATACATATCAGCCCAGTATAGCTCCGGGGAGCCGGGGGGGCCTCTCCACAGGACCTGATGCTTTATTAATGTATGATATTGCTTAAGCTGTACAGTATGTTGTAATTTATCACAATAGTAAACACATACATCAACTTCTATTAAGCAATTTACAGTGTATAATATATGCAAGTTGAGCTCTTTCTTATGTTGCAGGATTTGGAGCCATCCCAGTTGGTGTTGTTTATACAATCATTTGGGATACCTGTGGCAAGCATGACCAAGCTATTAAGTGCTTTGGATGTTGCTGTCAACACAAATGATGAGGCTGTTGCAGCAGCAGTCTTGGACAAGAGTCACAAGACTTACATGGCTCAGCTGGTTGAGGTAGGAAGAAAATAAAATGTGAAAAATAGTAGCCTATATAAACTTGCAAAAGCTCTTTGGCATTTGTTACAAATCTGCTGTAAGTGCTTTATGAAATTCATGGTATTCAATAGGTTCCGTTCATAGTGATAGTCAATATAGAAACATATTGAGTATGGAGTTAATATGGTCAGATGAAGTATGGGTGTGTGTGTGTGGCAGGTATTTAAGATAGTACATGCCAGAGTGTAAGATGCTGCTCATAATGGTAACATTATTTATGTTTAGCACACGAAAATGAGTAATTAAACAATGTTGGTTAAGTAATAATTTCATAATTTCATTTTAGGTTCAACACCAGCGAGGAGCAAAAGGTGGCCATGCTTTTGCAGCAACACTGGGTGAGCGTGATGACATGGATGTAGTAGGAGAACGACCTCCACACATTACACCACTGGTCACTCCCCTCAAGGTCATTTTCATACTTTACAATTCTTATTATACTGTATTTGGCAAATTACTACTCACAACAATGACTTTGATCATTAATCTTAAAAATTGCACTCTTTATACTTCAGTAAATTATATTGCAAGCTTGCAGTTTGAACTAGTGTGAACCTGAGCAGGTTACTACGTGAACTTATATTTTCCAGACGTCACAGCCACTACACACAGAACTGAGTAAAAGTGAAGTGCAATCTTTTGTGCTGCAGTGCTTCACCATCGATGTGCTTCACCGAGAGCACAAGAAACAGGTGGGTAGGTCAAAATTTCCCTTCCCTTAGTGTACACCAAGAGGTCCTGCTATAGAGGTCTGTGTACCTAATACCCATATAAGTCTCCTTTGTTGTGAAGTAAACTATACATATTCTTATAAACTTGTGTGCATATATATATGGTGATACATATCAGTATGTATTACCATATATATACATACATACATACATACCAACCCCATCCCTTTCCCCCTCGCCAACCAGCCCACCTCACTACCTGAGCTGACCCTGCCCCCCCCCCCCCCCCCCGGCCTCTACACCCAGCCGTGGCCTCCACACGCAGTTGATGCCTCCACACCCAGTTGCTGGCTCCACACCCAGTTGCTGGCTCCACACCCAGTTGATGCCTCCACACCCAGTTGCTGGCTCCACACCCAGTTGCTGGCTCCACACCCAGTTGCTGGCTCCACACCCAGTTGCTGGCTCCACACCCAGTTGCTGGCTCCACACACGGTTGCTGGCTCCACACCCAGTTGCTGGCTACACACCCAGTTGCTGGCTACACACCCAGTTGCTGGCTCCACACCCAGTTGCTGGCTCCACACCCAGTTGCTGGCTCCACACCCAGTTGCTGGCTCCACACCCGGTTGCTGGCTCCACACCCAGTTGCTGGCTCCACACCCAGTTGCTGCCTGTTCCTCCTGCCGAGGCTTCTGGGTCTTACCAGCAGACCCCCTTTTCCTGGACTGCCTTTTCTTCAGGGGTAGAGGGTGTGAAGGACAGATCTGTCCCGGGGCCTGGTTTAGAGGCTCCCAGGGCTAGGAAGGAGCTGACTTGGGAGGCTTGGGGCCCCCTTTGATGCGGCTTGGGTTTTGGTGCTCTCTTTGCAGGGTTTATTGTTGCAGGGGGAGGGGTTTTCTTTCTTTCCTCTATGAAGATCATATGCAATAATAAATTTTTAAGAAAACAAATTTCACCATTTTTATTCTTGCTGATAACTAGGCAGCATATACAGTACATCCCAGCATGACAAACTTATCCTGGAAGTGTTGTATTAATAAGTTGAATTTACTACCAGGTTCACTGGGTTCGGGTCTTTTGCAATGTTAATGTATTGATTTCTTTAGGTTCAAGATACGATGCGTGTATTGCAGCGCCACTTCAGCAGGGAAATTAGTAGACAGGACCCAGATGGCCCTTATATTAATGAGTTCCTAAGTAGCCTCACCGCTATAATGCAATCTCCGGTACGTATTGTGGTGTAGGTACTGTAGTATCATGTCATTTTCATTACTCTTTTATGACAAATGAACATCTCACTTTTGGGATCTTAATATTTTATTGTTATATTAATTTAGTCATAAGTTACACACACACACACACACACACACACACACACACACACACACACACACACACACACACACACACACACACACACACACACACACACACACACACACACACACACACACACACACACACACACACACACACACACACACACACACACACACACACACACACACACACACACACACACACACACACACACACACACACACACACACACACACACACACACACACACACACACACACACACACACACACACACACACACACACACACACACACACACACACACACACACACACACAGACAGAGGTGATATGATCACTACATACAAAATAGTAACAGGAATTGATAAAATCGACAGGGAAGACTTCCTGAGACCTGGAATTTCAAGAACAAGAGGTCATAGATTTAAACTAGCTAAACACAGATGCCGAAGAAATATAAGAAAATTCACCTTCGCAAATAGTGGTAGACGGTTGGAACAAGTTAAGTGAGAAGGTGGTGGAGGCCAAGACCGTCAGTAGTTTCAAAGCGTTATATGACAGAGTGCTGGGAAGACGGGACACCACGAGCGTAGCTCTCATCCTGTAACTACACTTAGGTAATTACACTTAGGTAATTACACACACACACACACACAACCTGACATTAAACCCAAAATTAATGACATATTGCACATGTGTTTCAGCAACATGCTCCAAGTTTTGTGGCGGGGCTGCATGACCACTACATCCATTCTGCTTCACTCTTCCGGCTGCTTAAGAACTTGCATAACAAAAAGGGTTGTGAAAAATTATATGGGCTCACATGCCAACTGGTTGCCATTATCCTGAGAATGGCACCTGATAGGATTTCTCCCTTGACACGTGTTCTTCAGGCCTTTAACATTGAAGAAATTCAATGCAAAGAAGTAAAGAAAGAGGAGCCACAGGCAGAAATTGATGTATCTTCAACTCAAACAGTTCTAGTTCATTTGGCTGGCATGCAGCCAAATCAGTTGGAAAAAGAGATATGTCATGTTGTGGGATGTGCCATGAAAGGTGGAAAGATGGCACCTGTGGTTGGAGCTCTTTCACAACTCTTGTTGTCTGATGTTTCGATAAAGCATGATCTGGAAGTTCAAGCTGGGACTAGCACACCCACTGCCCTCTTGTTAGATTGGTTGCAGGTATTGGACCCAGAGCTGGAAAAAGGGTCTGATCAACTACAGCAAATTTTGCTTTTCAAAAAGCGGGGTGGTATTGAACGTAAGGAGGGAGGCTATAGTCAGGCATATCTTTTGGCTGCCTTCACACATCAGGCAAGGTGGGATACACTTGAACGTTGTGTCCGTGCACTTCTGCGTGTTCACAGCCCAACATTAGATCCTGCAGCAGTTTTGGGATTTGTTTGGGCTGTGTTGCATGTACCCAAATTATGGCAGGGTAGGGAACGTCGTACACCTCGGCATGCGCCACGAGAGACATTGCTATCTTTCAGTGCCGCAGAAGTTGTTCACTTATCTCAGTATATGATAGCAGAGTGCCAAGCAGCTTTAGAAGCTGAACGTGGTACAGCATCTTTAGAAACTCATTTGCCTTTGCTACTTCATTATTTAGATGACTCACCATCTTCAATTAAAGCTGTTGCAGAACATCTGGCTGAAGTTTCTCATGAAACAGGATCATGTGGACAGGCAGCTGGTCACTTGCTGTACCATCTTTACTTGAGAATGCCACAAATAATATCATATCTACCACCAGGTACCATAAACAGGGTTGTATTAGCTGGTGCTTCTGGAGGCAGAGCTCAGGAAAGTGGAGCAGATGTTGCATTACACACACTACTTACAATGCTTGCTGCACCTCAGCCAGGTCAAAACTTTCGTCGACGCATGTTAGATTTGGAGTCTGCAGTTCGTAAACAGGCTGCATCTCATCCTCTAATTGTACTACGCCATCTTCCTTTATTGGCTGCATCTTTAAAAGGTACAAACCATCTGCAGCTGACAGCATTGCGAGCAAGTAATTACCTAGAGTTGTTTTCAATGATATTGGGGGTGTTAGAGCTCCTTCAACCTCTACTGTTTGCCCCACAACATCATACAGCATTAACTCCAACATTAGATAGCTTTATGGCTTTATTTAAGGCACATCCTATAATCCATGATCTTCAAGGCTTATTGGTAAGATTCTCTCATCTCTTAATGGAATGGGTTGGATGTCAGGGTGGCCCAGCTGGAGCATATTTATGCTCTCACTCAAATTTACTTGCCACCTTGCAGATGCATCACCCTGATATTGTTGCTGTTCGCTCTTTGGCTGCTATTGCTGCAGCTCGTGGCATGGATCAGCCTAAAGAATCTGCTTCTAGTCAGCATTATAGTTCTGATCCAAATTTGCCCTTAGGGGGCTCTCATGGCCCAATGGCACCACCATGGTTAATGGCACAGGTAGAGGAGCTTCAAGCCAGACTGGAGGCTTCAGGATTTCCAGAAGATAAGCTAGAGATTCTTAAAAAAGTCAGCGACTTGCCAGATCACTGGGCAAATGCTGCTCTGCCGTCTTTCACCCACACGTTATGTGATGGTATTGTCAGTGAACACAGAGGAGTTCGCCTTGTATGTTGGGAGTTAATTGCTCGGTTGCTGCATCAGCGTCCTGCTTTAGGTGGTCGTGTTGGACGTGCTGTACTTGCTGCCCTTAAGAATGAAGATAGTGCAGTGGCAGAGATTGCCTTGGAACACCTCCCTGAAGTCATTTTACTTTTGCATGATCAAGCAGCTGATCTATTGAGTACAGCATTTGTTTCTACATTAACAGCCTCATCCAATGCTACAGGTTCTCTTAGTGAAGCTCTAACTTTACTCCACCTACACACGGGAGCATAAAAATTGTTGAGCAAGATTCAGGAATCATTTTTTTGTATGTACTGTACCTGAATGGTTATTTGAGGTATGTGTCTACTATTAATGTCTGATGTCCAGTCATCCATAACTTTTATAAGAAAATAACATTGAAGACTATGAAGGGATATGCACGTGCTTGTTATAACAAGTGAAACTATTAGTTTTCTGTATTAAAAGCTGCAATCCAATATGTAAGGTGACTATAGTAGTTACACAAGTTTGGAAACAAAATTGTATTACTGCTAGATATTTTAAAGATTAGTAAAAAAAAAAAAAAAATACTGTACCACTTAGTGGGGACTGCAGTGTGAATAATGTATAAACAAACTTTAAACATTTACTGATTAAATATATTTAAAGTATATTGGGTGGTTTAGTAGTGTTGTCCAACTATGAACCATATTACTGTATTATTTTTTCTTGTATTTGCATTCCAAGTGATATTTAGCAACTTATGTATAGCCCATAACATAGTTGGTGCTACATAGTCATTTTGGCTTGGTGCCTTCTTTTGAGAGTTTCAATTCAACTTGGAAATAAGTAATCAAGTGCATAAAGAGAAAGCATAGCACATGCTACTCTTTCCAATTTCAGTATCACTAAAACACATGAATGATGAAACACTATCAGGGCATAGATGATTGTAATGCTCTTCAAATTGACCAAGATAAGTGGAGCCTCAAGTGGCAAAAGGAATTCAATATTGCCATGTTATGGAATGTAGAATCAGAGAAAATAGACCATGCACAAATTGTGTGGAAAGGAATTACAGAATAATAAAAAATGAGATCTAGGGGGTGGTTTGGATAGTGAGCCAGAGGAACACGCAAAAAACATTTAGAGAAACATATGCATCGCTTTCCAACTTCTGACTTGCTTTTAATTCCAGTGGAACCTCTGTTTACGCACACTCCGGCAGCCGACCACCACACCCCCTCACGGCGCCAACGGGCTAGATAGGTAGGGGAGGTGAGGGTAGAGTGGTGGTGGTGAGGGTAGAGTGGTGGTGGTGAGAGTAGAGTGGGGGTGGTGAGGGAGGGAGATGTTTAGTTAATATGGTTCACTTGTTGTGTGGTCCACTTGTGTGTGATCTAACTTGTCCTTTGAGGGAATTATTAATTGTAACCTGTGATAGAATGGGAAACTTATCCACCACTCTGTAAACTCTGTCCCAACATCATAAGCTTGTGGACCACTTGTGTGGTCCACTTGTCCATTTGTGTGATCCAACTTGTCATATGAAGGAATTATTAATTGTATCCTTTTATAGAATGTGCATTAACACAGGAACTAACTTGAAACGCAATTACACAATGAACTTTATTTAATTTCAGTTATATAAAATATATCTTACCTGAATGTTACTTGAAATATTACAGACACTCCGGAAATACAGGTGCCCCGCATTTAACGACCTGGGTACAGCCTTATACAGTGGCACCTCGACATACGATTGCCCCTACTTATGATAATTTCAACCTGCCTCAGTTTACTACAGCTGCCCGCTTAGTGACGATTGCGCCTATAAGAAATTCCGCTTTTGTGGTGATTTTTTGCATTTTGAACATTAAAGTAATTATTATATAACACACCATGAGTCCCAGGAAATTCAGTGGTAAGGCTCAACATATGAAAACCCATGTAAGGATGACCATAGAGCAGAAACAAGAGTACAGAATGTCTCTTCCTCAACAATTAAGAAAATGTGTGCAGCATGGGAAGAATTGCAAACCTTTGCTGAAACGACTCGCCCAAATCAAGCTGCAGTAGGTCGTTGCCTTAACCTATTCAATGACACTGTGATGCATCATTACAGACAAATGTTAAAATATGTTAAAATGAAGGGAAAAACAAATGTCTCTTGACAAATTTGTAGTGAGACAGACAAGCACTGAACCACAACCAGGTCCTAGTGGTATTCAGGCAAAACGTAGGAGAGAGAGTACCCCAGAGAAAACATCACTGCCTGATGTGATAATGAAAGGGAAACTCCCCTTCCAAACAGGAACAACTCTCCTCCTCCCCCCCCCATCACCATCTTCCATACACCATCAAGAGCCCTCCATAAAGGTAAGAGACACTTTGGTACTGTATTGTAGTTAGAAAAAAACATTGTATTCAGTATAAAATGTATTTGTATGTTAATATTTTGGAGGGTGGGGAACGGATTAATTCAATTCCCTTTAATTCTTATGGGAAAAATCGCTTCGACTTTCGACTTACGATCTGTCTCTGGGAACGGATTAGCATCGTAAGTCGAGGCCCCATTGTATAGGTCGTTAAATCGAGTGGATACTATACGAGGTCAATTTCCTTGTAAAATTTGTCTCTGAATACAAGGTTTGCCTCAGATTATAAGTTTGTTGATATATGTACGGGTCGACGAGTGCGTGGATTCTGCTGGGCAAGGGGCAAGGCACCCTCAGTTTACCAGTGTATCCCGCCTAGTAACGACCAAGCTTGAATTCTTTGTGAAGATTTTAATTGTTTTTCTGCTTTTTTGGTTTCTGAACAAAATGTTGTTCATTATATATTATGTCATGGGTCCCAAGAAAGTCAGTGGTAAAGTTCAGTCCAAGAAAATAGTTGCGAGTAGAGGCTAAGGAAGCTGATGTGAACCCCATGTAGCCACAGGAGTTTTGAATCATACGCTATACCTATAAGATCCCTGAGGCGCGTTGCGCAGTGCAGTGGTTAAGTATGTCACAAATAATATTTTTTTTAGTTTTCTGTGATCAGAGACTGCATTTTAACAATATAAGAAGATAACAGATAGTGACTATGTCAGTGTGGCTGGATTAAATAAATAATACATCCATACAGTAGAAAAGTGGGAAAATGATAAGTCCAGTTTGTCCTAGACAGTTATGTTGAATTAAGCAGAAAGAGAGAGGGGTAAGGTACAGCAAACAGGCTGATTATGGGAGGTGAGCCAGGAGAACAAAATGGGTCGAGAAGAAATGGAAGAGAAAATGACAATGAAAACAGGTTGCACCAGAATTAGGGAAGAAAATTTTTTTGAAGGGTGGAAAATAGGTAAGAGTCAATTCATCAATGATCCAAAGATTAAAGAATTTAATAATATACCAAGATGGAAAAAGAGAAGATTTGTACTAGAATCATTGATCTCATTGTCATGTTGAATAACATACATCTACAAGAAAGACTGCTACAAAAATATTACATATTGTATATAGAGTACTGTCCAGTGATTTCCAACCTTCAGGTGGAATGAGCAAGATCTAGTCCAATTCTGGTTTCTTGTTGCTCATTTTCATGGACTTGTAGTGGAGTTACACTTAAAATAATAATTTTTTTATATCATAAAAAAATATCTTTGGTAAAATATGGTTAATAGTAAACATAGATGAGAGGGCAAGAGAACTAATAGTGAATAATATATAAGGAGCAAGGAGACTTGTGTGAAAAAAAAACAGATGTTGCTCAGACTATAATTATTGTACAGAAGTTAGCAAAAATATTTGATAACATTATTCATGCACTTGGAAAATGTTTTTCATATAAGACACTGGAATGTTTTATGCAAGGTTCTAAAAATTTATGCCACAGTAGAAACTTTGTAAAGAATACTCCACATGTAAAAGTAAAATGGGAAAAAGTGTTACACTTCAAAGTGTGAGATTCTGACAAAGCTGTGGGATATATTGCATTATTAATTTATTGTATATATGAATGAAGTAGCAAGAAATATGAGTGGGAAAAATAGGAGCTATTTTCAAACAGGATGGTGCTAAGGCATCTGAGAGAGCCTTCAGTAGTGAAACATGAATATGGAATAAAAAGTAGATCACGACCCCTCGGGTTGCAAAAATTTACAATTTCAGGAATGGTTTTGACACAGGTAGATGGAATACGATATAAGTAAAAATGCTTTCACGCAATTTATACCAAAAATTTTTATATGCCACGAGTTAAAAGTACTTAGCTGTATTTCTTGCAAAATTTATTTACCAACACAGAAAATTTGTACTCTCGGCATTATTAATTAGTCACAAGATTGATGGTAATACCAGAAGTACATTCAGTGAAAAAATTGTGGGTGTGGTTGAGAGTACAAGACAAGGAAAGCCGGGGAAGACAACACTGGCAAAATGTTAGACAATGCAATCACAAAAATTTGGCATTCTCAGTAAGAAAATGTGAATGCATGATGGTACAGGCTTCCTTCTCATGAATCTGCTACAATATTACACATTTATAAATTTGGGGGATTAAAACAGTTTAGGCCATAATTGTATTCCAATATTAATAAAAACGTTAGGTTATCCTTTTTTCTTACAAGAATGTCTAAGAAAAGGTGAAATGTACTGGGTATGTATTTAATGTATTAAATACTTAAACAAGTATACAAGCATGTATGGAAATGTATTTAATGAGTATCTGGGTACATTTCATAAATGTGGTACTCTATCATTATCTTTTATATAGAATCATAAAATATATTTTGCTAAAATAAAATAACTTACATCACCATCTACCTGAATTACATCTCACACCAAAATTAAAGTAGAGGGGTGAATACCCCTTCATCCTCTAATAAGTTGACAAAAGCCGCAACCCTCTTGCTTGAGTCTACGCCCTTCATCACTCGCATGGAGTCCAGAAGGCCCAACAACTTTTTCACTCCCACAAAGACTCTTCCATGGCAAATACGTTTCATTATTTCATCAATCTGAAAGAGTGACAAATCTATAATTCATAACTGCAGTATATACAAAAATGGGAAAAACGAATGGAAAGCACCTAAACTTATATTAACCCTCAAACTGCACACACCTGTTTTTTTTTTTAACCCTCTTTCCTTGTGCTCATAAAAAACTCGTTATATAATAGAACATTTATTTCTGATGTCAGGGGTGGGGGGGAGGGGAGGAACTCTAATCATTTTACTGTGGCTATAACGAGGTGAAGAAATGTTGAAAATGTTAAATTCCAAGAATTAATTTTCAAGTAAACTATTTGTAATAACTTTCTTCTTAATCACAAATGTCTTACTGGTCCATATTAGTCCTTGATACTTTGCATGGCAGCAATGGGTCTGTGTGTAAGCATCAATAAAACCAGCATTAAATATAATGAAATTCCATTTTCTGGATGAGATCCAGAGGCTCCCCAGAGCTATCCAGGCTGATATGGATATATTAAACTTTGGCATCAATGTGAATGGAGTTCTAGGACTACCTGGGAACCACGAGACAGAACCTGGGCCCCCTCAGAGACACGAGGAGGCACACATCACCTGTACCCGAATAGAATCATCAGAGGATTGGGTAAATTGAGTCACAAGTAAGCAGCAACATTCACAGGACTCAGGGATGAAAGTATCATCGACCCAACAGGCAGCGTGGCGGAGGCAAAAACAATGAGGGTCACCCCGAAACAAGGGGACCGAGCAACCCTCAAACTCGCACACAGCGCACGGGGACTCCGGGGTCACATCCATTGGACCCACGTGCCCCCTCGGGGATTCCCAGGGTCCTGAGCATTTATTTTAAGAGGACTCGCACTCGGGTAGTCCCAGGCAGGGTGCAGCTAACCGGCACCCAAAACTACCAAGCAAACCTCTATAGCTGAACCCCAGGGACATGTACACTCATGGGGACCTAGCAGGGGGCACCACCGAGGAGTACCGTGGAAGGGCAAACCCCAGTGGAATAATAGGACAGAACTCCCGACAAGGCAAAAACAAAACCCCGCAAGAGGACAGCGAACCCTAAGGAACTGAGCCGGCCGCTATGTCGGGAAAACTAAGCTGCGCAGCACCCTGTGCCCCTACCAGTACAAACTGCCTCTAACCTGCAGGTAACAAGGAAGAACAGAACACCCAAGAGCCCAACAGGCGGCCGAAAAACCGAACGGTAGAACGGACCAGCAAAGGCAGGTCCCTAGGAGCCTGTGGAAGGTGGCCCCAAGCTCCAAGGGCAGTACTTACAGGGCACCTAGGGAAGGCAGCCCTAGGTGCATGCAGCCTGAGTACTGAAGATAACTCCTGGCTCTCGCACCCCTAGAAAACAAATACCGCACACGAAGCACAGTGCTGTAAAGACACTGGAGCCAGAGCACACGACCTCCGTCTATAGCATCAGCCTCAAGAACTGAAGTGTGGGTAGCCAGTGTGAGGAGTCTGAGGCTCCCCCTTCCCCATCCCAGGGAGGGGGAAGCTGCACAGACAGCGGCACGGCGACACGTGACGTCATACTAGTTAGCTCAATTTCTGTTTGGTAGTTCTATCCACTAGTTCGGCTTTTGGTAGCACTTTTAACCAGATTAGGGGGTTTGTTTTGGGGCGCTTATCTTTCTGGGTTCCTGATCTGGTCGATGGCAGACATAGAATGCTTCCAACCACACGGAGGCTTCTATAGGCCATTGCTCCCCTTGCCTCTCTGAGGGGGCCAGGTTCTGGCCGTGGTCCCCGGTAGGCCTAAGAACTCCATACACATGATTGATGCCAGAGTCTGACATTAGCATATCAGCCTGGGATAGCTCCGGGGAGCCGACGGGGCTCCCCCAGAAAATGTAGTATAGCTCAGAAACAAACGATAGATGAAAAAAAAATACACATGGTCATAATGTATTCCACAAAGGGAATACTTATCAATAGTCAATTTAATCCAATATTCATCTAAAATTACAACACTAACAATGTGTTTAGGCATAAAACCGTCTCACAAAATGCAAAGAATGAACTTACTTCTTTATGAGATAATGCTTGTGACTCCTCTAGAACAAGCTTAATATCTTCTTGGTGTGCAATATAAGGAACTCTTATAACAGCAGTAAAGGCAGAAAGAAGACCCAATTCTTCTAAAACAGATCGTCGTTTAGTGGTACAGATGACTAGGAGTTTACGGCCTGGAGGTGGGGAAGAGGCTAGAAGGGAATACATAGCATCCAGGACAATTGATTGATAACGGGGACCAATAGGTGAATAACCCATTAAGTGTTCCAGATCGTTCATAAAGATGCAGCTTAGTTCTGAGCGGTAAGCATCGTCAAATATTCTATTAATCCGTAAGCACTTGGAGGATTCCATAAACCCAACCATCTCACGAGAATTGATAACCTTGATAAAAGGAAAATCGGAGTTCTTTGCCAGGTATGCTGCCAGTGCTGATGTTCCAGCTGTCGGGGCTCCTTCCAGCAGTAAACAAAGACGGCTGCTTGTTTCTGGAGAGCGCGCCTGCTTCACAAACATCATCCCCTTTTCAACCAGGTCTCTCGTGGGTCCCCAGTTAATAATTCCTCGCTCGATAAACTTGGAGAGTGCCTCATCACTTGTACCCAGTGATGGTTTTACATCATTTTCAAGGGAGTATATAAAGTCAGCTCGTGTTATCTTAAGTTTATCAATTGCATCAGGATCAACTTCGATTTTCTTTCCTAAGTGAATATACCGCTTCAATGCAGAAGATGAAGCAGCTTTCACAAGACCTTCAAGTTCAGCACCAGAAAAGTTTTTAGTAATAGCAGCAATTTCCTCCAAGTCAACATCACCTTCTAGTTTATCATTCTCCTTCATTTTTGCCGTTTTGATTTGGAGAATATCAAAACGACCTTGTTCATCTGGAAGTCCAATTTCTACCTGAATTTCTAGTCTGCCAGGTCTGAGCAAGGCATCATCCATCATATCCTTTCTGTTGGTCATGCCAATCACCAGAATATTATTGAGCTGATCTACACCATCAATCTTTGATAGCAATTGATTAACAACTGTGTCATTCACGCCAGTATTGCCAGCAACAGAGCCTCTTTGTCTACAAATAGCATCAATCTCATCAAAAATGATAATGTGCAAACCAGAGTTTGGCCCCATCCGTTTCTCTTCTTCCTCAGCATCAGCAAACAGCCGCCGAACATTGGCTTCCGACTCTCCCACATACTTGTCCAATATTTCTGGACCATTAACAATTTTTGGTTCTCGAGCGTTGAGCATTTTTCCTATTTGACGTGCCATCAGAGTCTTACCAGTTCCTGTAATAAAATAGATACAATGATAATAGTGAATTGTAATTTATCACCAGATAAATTATATTTATAAAAAACTGAAAATATTTACAAAATGTCAAAAATATCAAAATTTACAAATATCCCCCACATGATAAGCGAGCAAGCGAGTTGGCACATATGTGCGTAAGTGAACTTGTATGCATTTTTTTCCTTTTTAAATTCTAAGGATTCTATGAATTACTACAGCTCTATTTTTGTTTCAACATAACCCTCAGTCCAGGAAAACATCCATTGTTCATCCCTTCACAGCAATCCTCACCAAACCTACTTTCGAACTTCTTCCAAGATTTTTGGTCTATAATTTTACATTCACCTCCCAATTAAACTTAAGGCTCACACAGCAGTTTTCAATTACACCTTAAATAAATAAATAAAATTTTCACTTTTCAAGAATAAAGTTTTCAAGTTCTGGAAGATACTTCATTCACATCAAATCATAGATCTTGAACTGCTACCTAAAAGTCATCTGAAATTACTGCAAATGATCAACAAACATCTGTAAGATCATGACTGATACACAGCTTAGGATACCTTACCGGTGGTAACTCTTCTGGTGGTTGACTCTTCAGAGGTGACTCTTTAGAAGTTGACTCATCCTCTGAAGAGTCAACTATCACAACACATGTACCCCCCTATTAGACTATTTTACAGGAACTTCTTTTCGACAGCTCATAAAACGGAGGAAAGGGCCTTGAAAGGTATTGTTGATAGGAACGTTATCCCTACAGACAAAAATCAGAAAATACAATTGACGATTTACTATAAAACAAACAAAAAAAACGACCAACCTACTCATGAAAAACTCTCCAGACACAAAGCAGAATTCTGCTCAATTCGGATTAAGGGTTGTGTGTATATGTATGTATGTATATGTATATGTGTGTGTATATATATATATGTATAATATATATATGTATAATATATATATATATATATATATATATATATATATATATATATATATATATATATATATATATATATATATATATATATATAATTTCATACAGAAAACTACTTATATTGTGTAGTTTGTAATTAACACAAAATGTTAACACACACCTGGTGGTCCAAATAGCAGAAGTCCCTTCACATGCTTGATACCAAGCTGCTCTGTGACTTCTGGTGGAAAAACTCTGGAAGCAAACGCTCTTCGTAAGATATGAACGAATTGTTCATCTAAACCACCAATACCCATTTTCTGGAAGTCCCAATCAGCAGAAAAGAGACTTGTATGGGCAGAACGGGTCTGAAACAAAAGAAACCAATGCATTTTATACTTACAACAGTAGCAGCAAACTACAACTATATATTTTTCTGCTCAAACAAAATGTTGTCCTTCTGAATGCTGTTTACAATGGAGGAAAATACAGATTTGCTTCAGTTCCATAGTAATATTCTCGTAAAATTTCCAGTCAGTCAGGGCAACTGGTCTTTTAGGACTAACAACTTGACAGCCAAATCTTTTTCAGGACAGTATATATTTTCTTACAAGATTTTAACAGTTTCGCGTTCCCGGCGTGTGCCAGGGCATTTCTCGTCAGCACGCGACTAGACTAAAATGTGTATACGCGTTTCAGTTTTCTCACCTCAATTCTCACGCTACGTCGTTCCTTTTGGTATCAATGTGTTCGCAATAGAATTCCCTACAGGGGTATATGCATATAAGGCCCAAAAGCCCAGAGCGAACCCCCCTCCCCCCCACAGCAAAGGTGAAAGTCGGCCGAATGTTACCCATGAGCGTGCAAAAGCAGTAAAATGTGTGTATTCGTTTCAGTTTTCTCACCTTAATTCTCATGCTATGTCATTCCTTTTGGTATCAACATGTTTGCAATAAAATTCCCTATGGAGGTATATGCATATAAGGTCCAAAAACCCGGCGTGACTCCCCCACGGATGCATAATTTGTCCCAGTTGCATGAAAGTGTTAACCTAGGGGGATTAATAGATATTGTATGTTTAATTTAATGAAGATACAATATTTTTTTTTACATTTTAACCAAAACTAAAGCACCAACCTATTAATATTATTAACACACTCGACATGGGGAACTCGCTGTTGATCGCCTGGGACAATATGGTTATCATCTTTAGATAATTATAATTATTGTTGCCAGATTTGTATACAATTGGTGTTAATATAGTTATAACAACTTATATATGGATGTTTACCAAGACCCATTAAAAAAGTCTGCTATCCTTTTATAATTACCTTCTATGCAATGAGGTCATCATGTACTAGTAGCCTGCTGTTATCAAATAATGATTTAGTTTTTCCCAATAGTGTTTGTGAATATAATATAATATACATACATACATACATGTACAAACGTTATATATAAGTATCTACATGTTCTGTCTGTTCACCATAACTGTTCATCTAAGCTGGTATAGTGCCCAAACAACATAGTGGCCACCCCTACCCAGCATGATAAATCATGCAGATGTTGCCACCTCCCTCACCAAAATGGCTTCTTCCCCACACTCCTTTTGCTGTTATTACACTATATATACACATTATATATATAAGTATCTACATTTGTGTTCACCATAACGAACCACTAAGTTGGTATGCTGAGTGGCAGTGGCAGCCAGTTGCAGCCTGCCACTGGCTGTCACTCCCTCCCTGCCTCACCTGACTCGCCAGCCTTCTCCTCCTACCATACTGTTTTGTTTTTATTCATACAGACTATGTATTTTACATAGTCTTTACTTTTATTCATATACAGACATTATATATAAGTATCTGCATATTTTGTTCACCATAGCGAACAACTAAGCTGGTATAGTGAGTCCAGACAGTAAAGGGTGGTCACACAGAGTCAGTGGACAACACTACCTCCCTCCCCACCAAGATTACTCCTCCCACTACAGAACTAATTATCACAACAATCCTGCTATTGTCAGAATCCTGGTCATTTTTATCAGTCAGGGGTCTTCTGTAATACTACCATTGCTATATAATAGCATGTACAGTACATATATATAATGGCATTTTTAGGCGATGCTGTGGTCACAAGCTGAACAGCAGTGCTGTGAGCTCATGCTCTGTGCATCAGCCTTGGTGACTCACTCAGTATTGAGGACCTCACACCCGGGAATATGGACCATGATTTTTTTTTTAAAGATGGCGTCTATTTACAAGAGCCCTGATGAAGGCGAGGTGAACCCCGTGTATCCACGGGCCGTTTAAATCTTGCGTAATACTCCAACATGTCATCTTATGAATATGACGTGTTGCGCAGTTTAATTGTTAAGCTTATCGGGGGTCTCCCTAGGCTACCTTCACGACGATGAAACCCATAACAGTTGCCTAACTCCTGAATAACCACTAGTATTTACTGACAAGTGAACAGATGCATCAGGTGAAAGAAAATGGGCCCCCAACTGTCTCTGCCTGGGAATTGAACCCAGGATCATCAGTTGTGATTACTGTGATTACTGTGATTACAAATTAACAGGGAGCAAATGAAGGGCCTTAACTCAGATAAAGATGTATCTTTAAAATGTCATGCATTTCCTTCATTTCATAAGATTTTTTAAGTAATGTAGCATCCATTATAATCATTGACAGATAAGGAAGGTAGGTCAACAAAAGGGCCTTAAACATTCACATCACTTTTACATTGACAGCTGGCAGTAATGTGATCAATAATTACATTAAAAAAAACTTCACTATAAAGCTGTACTGTCCCATATGATGAGTAGAGGAATTGGCATTTAATTTCTGTTTTATTTTTAAGCTCTAAAGAAAATAGAGCATATTTTTTACAAATAAATAAACTTAAATATTTCATACCTTTGCTTTTCCAGTAAGTATCAAGGATGAGCCTTCACTTTTCTCAAAAATAATAGATGCATTTGGCTGGAGAACTCCAAAGTTAATTTTGCGAGGCACTTTTTTCTTGCCAGATGCAACAGCTTCTAGATCAGCAGCTGTAGAAGCAAGTTCTGGTTAATACGTAAATAAAAGAGAGGCAACATATGCTTATCTCATACTGTACACATTAATATACATAACAGTTAGCAACATAAAAAATAAACAACACAAATATAATATAACTTTAACCCGACAAATTTCTTTAGTGTCATTTAATGCATCTACGTTACTTATAGAGAACAATGTTTTATTTTTTAAGACTAAATTTCAATGGGATAACCATTCTCAAAACAATAATAACTGCAGAATGATGCAGATACACATAAATCCACACTGTACATAACGCACCTAAAATGCAAATATATTTTACTGGAACACTTCGTAAGTCATCAAGAAATACTAAAAATACAATAATACAACTAGATATGCTTCAGTCACACAAGGGCAATGAAGAAATGGTTTGTAGATGTAGTGCTCTATAGAATATGAACAAAAACACTCACTCATTCTGGTCAAAGACTGTTGAGTCTTGCCAGCAATTGAATGGGTAACCATGCAGAGCCTACATAATAAAACTAGGACAGTAAAACCTGGGAAAAAAATGTGTTGAATGTAATGAAATGTCATTTTCTGGGCGAGTCCTGGAGGCTCCTGGAGCTATACCAGGATGGTATGTACATATTAGACTGTGGCATCAGTCAATTCGATTGGAGCCCTAGCCAACTGGGGACCATGAGGAGCAATGGCCTATAGAAACCCCCCATGTGGTTGTAAGTATTCTGTCTACCATCTACTGGGTTAGGCACCCAGAAAGGTAGGCATCCCAAAACAGACTCCACCTGGATAAAATTGCTACCAAAAACCGAACTATCAAGCAGAACATCTGAAAATCGTCTGAAAATAAGCACTCAAGCATGACGTCACGCCTGGCCTCGGGCCGGGCTTGGGGAGTAGAAGAACTCCCAGAATCCCATCAAGCAGGTAGCAAGCAGGTCACATCCACCACTGTGCAGTTGTCTGCACAGCTGCCCCTCCCTAAGAAGGGGAAGGGAAAGCCCCAGACCCCTCACGCCGGCTATCCAACCCAAGTTCAAAGGCTGAACATCAAAATGCGAAAATCGCCGACCGGAGTGAGGGAGGGTTACTGAGGAGCCTCTGGGACTCGCCCAGATAATGACATTTCATCGTATGGAAGATAATGATGAGGGGGAGGAAGAGAGTTGTTACTGTTTGGAAGGGGAGTCCCCTTCCATTATCACATCAGGCAGTGTTGTTTTCTCTGGGGTACTCTCTCTCCTACGTTTTGCCTGAATACTACTAGGACCTGGTTGTGGTTCAGTGCTTGTTTGTCTCACTACAAATTTGTCAAGAGACATTTGTTTTTCCCTTCGTTTTAACATTTGTCTGTAATGTTGCATCACTTTAGCACCCATAATGTCCTTTTTCTTAGCCAGTATGGAGGATATCGTTGACTGAGATTTGTTGTACTGCCTAGCCAGTTCAACAACCTGCACACCATCTTCATATTTATGAATGATCATGTTTCTGCTCTATGGTCATTCTTACATGGGATCTCATATGTTGAGCCTTACCACTGACTTTCCTGGGACTCATGGTGTGATATATAATAATTACTTTAATGTTCAAAATGCAAAAAATCACCACAAACGCAGAATTTCTTATAGGCGCGATCGTCACTAAGCGGGCAGCTGTAGTAAACTAAGGCAGGTCGAACCGCGTGACCGGGAACCACGCACTTGGTCGACCTGAACGTGTACCAACAAATATCAGAAGTCGACGACACCATCGGATGTCGTGTCGCATTTTTCGATGAAATTTACATCGTAACTCGAAATTATCGTAAGTAGGGGCAATCGTAGGTCGAGGTGCCACTGTACTGTTCAAATACCCTCCAGCATGTCTAGCTTGAATTCTAATCCAGAATCCTTACCCATCACCAAACTCTTCATGGCTTTTGTTGTCTGCATGTCGTGACTCCCAGTACAGAATTTTGTATGTAGCTTCATCTTTACTTAAAATACTGCCTAGATACCTGAAACAATATTGACCCTTTCCACAGTCACTTGTCTCCAATCACACAGTTGAAGGGCCTCGCTTCAAAACTGACCCTTCTTACTTTGTTGAATTTACCTTCAAATTTGTTCTTAATGTATTCCAGAAAATTTATAATAAACAAGTTCTTGTCACAAAAATATTCCAATTTAATACTTACAATATATTTACCATTCCTTTAACTTATGTGATAAGCTAATTCTTACCTTCAATTTCCTTGACATTTAGAGACAGTGCTTTCTTGTCCTGAAACTTAAATGCCACCAGCTGGCCAACTGCAAAGCCATGTTTAGGAAACTGTTCCATGAATCCCATTGCCATTTGATCAGTATTGTAAGGCTCACTGCCAGTAATCTTCTTTTGTAAGAAATCCGCTTCCAGCACCATTGTGCCAATAAGCTGTGTTCGTGGATCGTGCATAAATGGTTCTGCACGAATCTGTTTACATAATGAGAAGAAGAAGCTGGTTTAGTTTCATGAACATCAAAATATCATTTATCAAAGGTACTGTATATCAAGAAATTAAAGTACTGTACTGAATAAATATTTTCAGTTGAATGAATTGTCATGCCGCAAAACTCTTAACCTTTCCAATGCCTTGATCATAAAAAATCATTTCAAATTTTTGTGTATATCATGCACTGAACAGTTAGGAATCATCTAATTTTTCTGGTATCAATTTCCTGTGAAATCGCACCATTTCATATCAGTAAGAAGCAAAAGCAAATCATTAAGATTGCTTCATCTATGAAGCATTCGTGCCTTTTAACCCTTTGACTGCAAAATTCTTGCTCAACAAAAACCAACATTGAATGTAGTGAAACATCATTTTCTGGGTGAGCCCGGAGGCTCCCTGGAGCTATCTCCTGGGTCTTTGGGTCATTGAAACTGTATGTACAGTTTCACACACTATTTACATAGTAACACACTGTATTACACACTCAGTACTTCGGAAGCGAGTAATAATCAACGAAGTAATTCATGGTACACATCACGACTTCGCTCTCGTTGCACCAGGTACAGATAGATTTTCCACTTCCTGTTTCTTCGTTCTGTGTGCTTGCAAATAACGCACTCACGTACACCCTTGGCATTAGTACCTGTAGGTGGTATGAAGCCAAGATTGTAAAACGTAAGCTAGTCTTGAAAAGATTACAGGAAAAGGTCAATTTATAAGGTAGTCGTGAAAAGATCGCTTTGTAAGGTTCAACACAGGAAGAGATTCAGACAGCCTCAAAGAGTGTCCGTCAGTCAAGAAGAGATTCAGCAAGCCTCAAAGAGTGTCCGTCAGTCAAGAAGAGATTCAGCTATTCTTAAAAATATCTATGGAAAACACCACCATGGAAGCCGCTAACACTGTTCATCTATGGTGCTTGTATCAGATGCATCATCACTGAACACAGAAAACAATTCATTTATGTATCATCTAAATAAATTGGAGATAACTTAAGTGGGCAAGGGTGGCGCTCAGAGCTACAACTGGATATGCTCGCTGTATCGTCCTTGTAGGTGCTGTATCACTTGCATCCGACCTTTGTGTTAGGTCCCTATTGCGCCTAGCTTCACCAATACTATGACCCTTATGTTCTTCAAACCATAAGGTTTGAATTTCACCGACAGAGCTCGATCTTTCAACACCTCGTCGGACAGGTGTTTGGGAGCCAGAGGCACGTGCGCACCCATGGTTACTCACTCAGTACTAACCCAGCCAGCAGCCCTAGGGCATTCTGGGAATTTTTTCCAAGATGGCTGCCTCTCACTCTCTCACTGGAGGTCCTAAGAGTCCATTTTGTACACAACCAACCTCGCACACATTTAGAATGGTTATGAAAAAATCAAAAAGAGTTTTCTCGGTTGGCGCAGTTTCCCACCGACCGAGAATACTTGGTTGGCGCAGTGAAGTGGTAATGCCTGGAATGAGTTCTGGGAGTTATTCTATTTCCCAAGCCCAGCCTGGGACAAGGGTTGACTTGTGACAACTTGGTCCAACAGGATGTTGCTTGCAGCAGCCCCACAAGCCCACATATCCACTACAACCTGGTTGGTTGAAAGCTTCTTGCAGGAACATGTCAAATTTTTACTTGAACACATTCACTTTTGCACCAGCAATATTTCTTATGCATGCTTGGGAACATTGAATAGCCGAGGATCTCTGATGTTTACACAGTGTCGACACAGTGTTCACACTGTGTAAACACAGTGTGGCCACACTGTGATAAATGTGACCAAGGACACAGTGTGGCCACACTATGATAAATGTGACCAAGGACACAGTGTGGCCATGGTCACATTTATCAAATGCCTTTGCAAATTCTATGTATACAACATCTGAATTTTGCTTTCTTCTAATGCTTATGTGATTTTGTCGTAGTGGTTGAGTAATTACAAAATGCAGGATTTTTCTGCTTTCACGCCATCTTCATCTGGATTGTGAAGTTCCTTATTTTCCATTAAACTGGAGATTTGAATCCTAATTACTCTTTAAAAACTTTAACTGTGTGTGATGTTAGTAAGACTGGTCTATAGTTTTTAGCCAATGCTTTGCTACCTCCCTTGTATAGTGGAAATATATGTGCTGATTATGTGCTTCTGGTATCTTGCCTATATTTTTCTCCATATTTCACAGTGCTCATGCTACTGGTACTTTACATTTCTTTATAAATATGGAGTTTCAGGAATCAGGACCTGGGGCTGAGTGCATGGGCATGTCAATTCCTATTTCAAAGTCAGCTGTGCTTGTGTTAATATCAGTCATATTATCAAAGGTTTGGATAGTGTTCATAAAGAAGTCGTCCATTGCTTCAACTTAAATATTGCTTATTTCGGTGCTAAACAGTCTCGTACTGTTCTTTTAGGATTTCACTAATTTCTGTCATCCTCTTTGCATGACCCTTCACTTGGAAGCTCACAGAACTATAGACATTGGCAAGGTATTAGCCTCTGAGCAAGAGGGCTCATTAGAGAGAATTTCATAATCCACCATGATAACCACTTGTTATGACACACAGGAGACCAAGCTCATGTTACGTCATCTTCACACAGTTACTGTTGTGGCGTGCATCCTGGAAAAGGTCAGTAGTTGGCCTGGCGACCCCTGATAACCTTAACAGGCTCCCTGTTCTCAACACTGCCAACCATAGGAGGAGCCAAAACCTAAATAAAAAAACATATAAATACTACAGTGCAAAATATATATCATTATCATCTACCCAAAGGTAGAATTTACTTAAAGACATTCTAAGGGAAGCCATAGAAAATACTAATGAATTCTGGGCTATGATCAGTCACACATGGTAACAGATTATGTCCAGTTATACACACATTACAAGAGTAATGGCTCAGATGAACATAGTTTTGGCCTCAAGCTATAGAATCATATGGATTTTCTGAAACAAAAGAAAACGTGTATAAAAATTATTCTTGAAAATGGAAATACATACTGCTGTGCCAAATACTGAACTTTGATGTTAAAAGTCAGTAATGGGCAACACTACAAAACACACATTTTTTTAAAGCAAAGAATTTTATACAGGAAAGTTAGAGTAGGCATAAAGGATAAAAAAATAAAATTCTTACCTCTTGATCCAAAGACAGCATTGCCTGCTTCCGGTGAATGGCATTAAAGCCCATGTGACCTGGCTTGACCACCCGATCATGTTTGAGTGTATATATATACTGTTTGCCCTGGTCAGCTGTAACTCGTGCATATCTGAATGAGTCAAGACAAAAATTACATTCTATAAATAATAATCAATACCCTACCTATATATTAAAAGAAAAAATTCAATGGGAGAGTTTGACATGTCTACTCTGTTGACATGTTTGCCCATCTTGTATGTCTTGGTAACTACTGACCATGTACCTATCATTACAGTTATTTGTTAACTTCAGGACCTGTCAAAAATGCTATGCGTGTTAGTGCCTCTGCAAGAATATACTGTACCACTTTATCACCAATGCATGTGCTGTACTTTTACAACCAACTGCACCTTCTTGTATATATAAATAAATAAAATAAACTGCACAAGCGCTTACAGCCCATCTCTTGGAGAACAACATGGTGGCAAATCTAGCAGAATTTTATACAGATTGGAACACTGTGGGTTAAATATAAAATGAAAACCACTAGATCCTTGGATCATAATGATCAGAGACTAGGTTGTATTGAGGTATTGGTTAAACATGTGAAGAAATTATATTTCAGTATAAGAGAGGTTTGTTAGAATTATGATATAAAATGGACCTCACTGAGTAGATGTCATAAATAAAATATTGAACAGAACACTTATTTCATATTAAGAGTCATATTTAATATTTCATATTATACTCACACTTTGTATAAAAATGGGATTCATCCACACCTACATTATACTGTATTTCATATGAGTAAGTTACCTGTTTTGACTTACTTAATATGAAGAGGGAAGTCATTTTCATTAACAATGACACAGTTGGTGTAGGACAATTCCTCGTTTGGGCATTTGGCAACCCTCATCATCTGTAATTAGCAATCACTTGGCTCATTCTCATTACACCCTATTTGAAGCAATAAAAATGTGGATTACACATTCTGTATCCTCAAATGTCAAAAAATAAATATTGAACACAATGAAATGCCCTCTTCTGGAGGACCCCCAGTAACTTCATGAACTTAGCTCTGATATCACCAAGGCTTAGCCGAATACTCCCAGCCTCTGAGACATTTACATAACCTACAGGGAGCCAGGACCAGTATATGGTTCACTCTGAGGCAACAGGAGCTGATCAGAGATCAGCCACAAAACTGGAGAAACTAGCAGAAAGCATAGGATCAGCAAAAATAAGTGACTGCTTCAAAACAACCTTAGGAAAATGAGACAAACTATCATTGCCACTAGGTAAAACCCTGGCTGTAATGCCCACGACTGCCACTAGATGGAAACCTAGGTTACCAAAGATCTAAGTTGGACTATTTCCTTACTTTGGAGCTCTCCATTTATCCCAATCCCCACTGGGATTGTAATTTTCCAATTAAACAGTACAAACACTCTGTTTGCTTTAAAGATAGAGGTAGTACATATAATACCTAAATCCACTAGTACACATAGCGTTTCGGGCAGGAAATGAAATGAAATGAAAAAATAAAATGAAAAACAGTTAACACACGACTCACAACTGATGACGTCCGAACTCATCTGGAACAAGTGCTTCGTTGACGACTTTTGTTTGAACCACAACGCTGTAAATGCTTCACCCACGTACTACAAATTCAAGTAATCGCCAACAAAACAAATACGTAACCTAACCTAACCAGTGCCTAAATATGCACAATATGATAATATAAAATAGTATTAATATATATTTGAGAAAATTTATGTTTTGAATGAACGGCATGTTAAAATTGATGAACGCATCTTTGGGGTTGATCGCTGGATGGAATGGACTTGGTCTGAGGATGGGTTGACCCAAGATATATATCTTCACCAGTGTAATCACCTCTCAATTTACATTGTAGTTATATGTTAAACTAAAATTTTGCTACAATGTACCTATTCATCTTGCCTGATATTTTAAGATTAAGCACTTGCCCGAAACTCTATGCGTGTTAATGGCTTCGCAAGAATGTAAAAATACCAATATTAAGGAATCTCACGAACCCATTGTACCTTTTTGTAAACTAAATAAATAAATAAATACATAAAATAAATAAAACGCTTTGCGTAATAGTGGCTTTAGGCATTGTATGTACTAGCTCTATCTATAAAGCCAACTAACTTTGTAAAATCTCTTTATGTATGTACCTTTACCTAAATAAAAATTATTATTATTATTATTATAAAATCCATTGGTGAACTGTCTTGGGTACGAACTGACTTCTATTCAATTTATTTTTCCCCATTAATCAGGTGTGTATGGGGTGATCTCACAGGACAGTGCATAATAAACCTTCCTTCTCTGATTTCCTGTTGAAGGGGGGGGGGGGACCATCGACAAGCCTTCGGCTTCCTGTCCTCGTCGATGCCACTAGATTTAGTGGCCCTCAGGTGAATCAGGTAAATTAAACTGTATGCAAATAGTTAATAGTTTTCAAGTTTCGTCCCTGCAGCAATGGGGTTCAAGTCACTTACTACCACACACAGGTCGCTAATGGGATATAAAACCTATCTAGCCTCAAACAACCCAAACTATCCAAGTATACGGTTTTAACAACTAGATAAACAAGCTTCGTTGAAACACCTGTTGAAGATGTGACAGTACCTTATTTGGTGGTAAAGGTAAGGTGGGAGATGGTAATGGTTGGATGTGTGTGTGACAAGAGCCCAGATGGTGTGGTGTACCAGCCTGCAGGAGCACTACGCCCTCCTCGCTCACTCCTGAAGCAGTAGTAGCAGCAGTCTGCACTAAGCTGCCTCCCTCACCAACTTCCTCCTCCCCCTCTGATAATGAGTGCTCTTTCCCTCTCGTACACCCACTCGCCAAACACCACATTTATTAACTAACATAATAATTTCAGGTGATATTATCTATAATAAAATAAAATGTTACAATTGTTGACTATCGCGAGGTGGTGTAGGTGCAGGAGTGATCTTCACGGCCGCCACGTCAATACTCTACTACACTTGCTTGCAATTTTGCAGCTTGCTTATCAAGATTGTAACTTGCTTAGCTAAATGAATTGTGGGGTTCAGTCCCTCAGCCCATTATGTGCCTCTGTAACCCTTTCCACTACCACCCACAAGATGGGTATGGGGTCCATAATAAATGATTTTTTTTTTATACAAGAGTTGTTACATTCCTGTACAGTTATTCGAACCCCAGTTGGAAACAGACCCACTATACGATGGGTTAACCCAAGTATCGCGCTTCCAAAAGGGTCGCCCAAGTTGGAAAAGACGAACGCTGAAAGAATATTGTTGAAAACATCTTGATTACTGATTAAACCAAAATTATTTATTAGTCAGAAGAAAGACAGAAACGCGATCTATATGTAAAACCTCTACCAGACAAATATTTTAAGTAAAACCGAAGATATTTGTAGTTGTATAAAAGTGGCAGTTTTCATCGCTCGTCAAACTCGAAAACCGCAGCATTCATCTCAGAACCATGCCTATTTCACGCAGATTCCTTAATAAACGTAAGAGTTGTATATGTCACAAGAAAGACAGATATATAAGCTTCGTTCTAAATACCTTACCATGGGCATATTTAAATTTAAAGCGAAGATACGTGTACTTTTATAATAGCCGAGCTCCGACTCCGGACAGATCGATCGACGGAGCAACTCTCTCTCAGAACAATGCTTATTTCACGTAAATTTGTAAATAATCGTAAATTTTTTATATGCCTTAAGAAAGATAGGAATATAATGCTCATTTTAAACACTTTATCATAGACATAATTAAAGTTCTAATGAAGATTCATGTATTTTAATAATCGCCGAGCTCCGACCCCCGCATAGACTGAGCGACAGAGCAACTCTCTCAGAAGAATGTTTATTTTACGTAAATTCGTTAATAAACACAAATGTTTTACACGTCTTAAGAAAGATAGAAATATAAGCTTTATTTTAAATACATTACATTAGACATATTTAAAGCTCAAGTGAAGATATATATGTTTTTATAGTGGCGTTCAGTAGCTTTTCGGTCATGGAGTGCAGACGCCTACGCACTTGCCAATATGTTGTGTAATTAACAAAGATACGCTAATAAAGCCTAAAATATTACATGCCTCCAGAAAGATAGAGCTATAATCGTTATTGTGAGTGCATCAAAGGAAATATATCATGTTGGAGACCAATGATATAGCAATTTTAATTTAAGTTTCGAGTCCCGCCCGGTCGAGCCCATCTTTTTTTTTTTTTTTTTTTTATGAGATATATACAAGAGTTGTTACATTCTTGTACAGCCACTAGTACGCGTAGCGTTTCGGGCAGGTCCCTGGAATACGATCCCCGCCGCGAAGAATCGTTTTTTCATCCAAGTACACATTTTACTGTTGCGTTAAACAGAGGCTACAGTTAAGGAATTGCGCCCAGTAAATCCTCCCCGGCCAGGATACGAACCCATGACATAGCGCTCGCGGAACGCCAGGCGAGTGTCTTACCACTACACCACGGAGACTGTAAATCTATTGATTCTACTAGAGAATCTATTGGATTCTGTCCACTAAAGACCCAAAGCTACTCAAACCTTCCTAGCATTACGTAACCAATGAAGTAATATGGTATATTTACTCACTATAATGTGGATGCTGGATGCAGAAAATGAGAAAACATAATTTTACTCTGAAAAAATATCATTTCATAACAAAATAAGATGTAAATATGTAATACAAGAATGTAAATACTGTACTATCCAATGTATTCTCACAAACCCAATGTACCTTCTTGTATATAAGTATTTAAAATGAAGCTTATATTTCTATCTTTCTCAACACATATAAAAACATTTGCGTTTATTAACGAATTTACGTGAAATAAGCATTGTTCTGAGAGAGAGTTACTCCGTTGCTCGATCTGTGCGGGATCGGAGCTCGCCGATTAGAAAAATACACGTATCTTCGCTTTAAATACAAATATGCCCATGGTAAGCATTTAAAATGAAGATTATGTTTCTATCTTTCTTGAGACGTATAAAAATCTTACGTTTATTAACGATTCTGCGTGAAATAAGCATTGTTCTGAGATGAATATTGCGGATTTCCGGCTCTACGACCGATGAAAAATGCAACTTTTATACAACTACAAATATCTTTAGTATTACTTTAAATTTTGTCCTGAAAGAGTTTTCATATATAGATCCAGTTTCTGCCGTTCTTCTGACATAAAAAGACCTTTGGTTTAATAAGTTATTAAGATGTTTTCAACAATATTACTAGGGCGTTCACCGATTCTAACATGGGCGACCCTTTTGGAAACGCAACACATGGGTTGACCTGATTGATATATGGGTCAGATTCCATTAAGGTTCGGAAGATAGTCACTAGCACGCATAGCGTTTCGTGCAGGTCCTAATTTTTACGGCTTCTGCGGGTAGGCAATTCCAAGGGTTTATAACCCCTTCGGTGAAAACAAAAATCTTGTTTTACGTCCTGCATTGTAGCTTGTTGAGCTGGAAACCGTTGACTCTTGTGTTACATCTGACTTGTACGGATTGTTCAGTATATTAAGTTTTTTAGTTTAATTGTTCAGTATTTTAAGTTTTAATCAGATTAGCCTTGTCGTGTCTGGATTGAAGCACTGTTAGTCCTGTCGCCCTCGACCGTACCTGAGTCGACTATCTGGAATGATTTTAGTCGTCAGTTTTTTCTAGATTTTGTAAAAAAAATATTGCACGAAAATGTACAACTGTTTTGTACATATGAGGATGAAATTAGGTATTTTTTAAGTTGTACTTTCTCCAAAGCAAGTGCCTAAAAAAGATGTAATGACTTCAGTACCCCTTACAACACGGCGGAAGTCAGAGAAAATGGCAAAGGAGCAGAGGCGAGGCAACCGACCAAAAGGAGAACAACAAGCAGATAAACACAAACACCTTCCCCGGGCGCATCCCATCCCACCATCGTCGTCGCCCCTAAATCAACAACACAAAGACCCGGTCCATAGAATTACCCCAATCACCCCAAATCAGGCCAAAACTACCCAAATCGTCCTAGCATTACGTAAGTAATGAAGAAATATGGTATATTTACTTACTATAATGTTGGTGCTACACATAGAACATGATCAAACCTATTTTTACTCTGAAATAATCTAATTTCATAACGAAATTAGACGTAAATCTCCGTGGTGTAGTGGTAAGACACTCGCCTGGCGTTCCGCGAGCGCTATGTCATGGGTTCGTATCCTGGCCGGGGAGGATTTACTGGGCGCAATTCCTTAACTGTAGCCTCTGTTTAACGCAACAGTAAAATGTGTACTTGGATGAAAAAACGATTCTTCGCGGCAGGGGATCGTATTCCAGGGACCATAGGATTAAGGACTTGCCCGAAACGCTACGCGTACTAGTGGCTGTACAAGAATGTAACAACTCTTGTATATATCTCAAAAAAAAAAAAAAAAAAAAAAAAAAAAAAAAAAAAAAAAAAAAAAAAAAAAAAAAAAAAAAAAAAAAAAAAATAAATAAATATGTGAGAGGTGACGCCATAGGAAGTCGACGGTCCAAGCGACAATTGTGTGGAGCGACTTATCCAAGAAATATGGTCGCCAGGAGAGTGTTTGCTGCCATATCAGCCTCCTGTACACAGTGATCCAGTCCTTTTCGTTCATTGAACACCGAACCCTACACGCCCTCTGATATATTGCTTAATTAACAAATATTCACAAATAAAGATTATATTTGTATATGTTATCAGAAAGGCAGATATAAAATAGTTTTTGTGAATCCATCACAGAGATTATACCTTATTAGAGAGGAAAAATATTCATACTTTAAACAAGGCTTCATGGCCGACGCTCTCCTTACCGATATGGGAACTATGACCTTCCGAAGATCAATGTTAATTTAATCTAGATATTGTAATAAACGAAGTTTTCTATGTCATCATAAAGACATAAATATAAGCTGCATGTTAATACTTTGGCATAAATATAACTGAATTGAAAGTTAAGATATATGCCTTTTTATAGTTACTTGATGGCTCGCTCAGGGAGTGTGAATTAGGCCTCCACACAAGCCAATCAATTTTATAATTACTTTGCATATATGCAAAGTAACGCCATAGGTCTTTATGTCAGAATAAAGCCATGTAGACGATAATGTAACTACATTTCAAGGAAAACATATCTTAATATAATTATTAAATGAATGCAAAGTTATGGTTAAATAAATAGCCAATACCACACAATCGCCGGTGTCCGGACACATGAATAGTCGCATTAGGTGAAAGGAAATGTACCCAACCATTTCCATTTACCCAACCAGTTTGTGCACCCTATACTCATCCTCTGTGCGGTAATTTATTGTGCATCCCATACTCATCTTGTTACCAGTAGTTTGTGCAACCCATACTCATCCTGTGACCCGTAATTTATTGTGCATCCCATACTCATCCTGTTACCGGTAGTTTGTGCAGCCCATACCCATCCTGTGACCTGTAATTTATTGTGCAACCCATACTTATCCTGTGACCTGTAGTTTATTGTGCAGCTAATACTCATTCTGTGAGTCATAGGACATTGCGCAACCCTTTCTCATCGTGTGAATCTTTGTTTACTTTGCTCTCCATATTCATCCTCTGCGCGATAGTTTCTTGTGCAACCCATACCCATGATGTGAGTGGTAGTTTATTGTGTACCCTATATTCATCCTGTGAGTATAGGGTACACAATTCTTGTTTGGATTCTTGTAATGTTATTTGTCTATTTGTAGTCACAGTATTTGTGCGC